AACTGCTAACAATCCTATGGCTTTTCCACGTCCAACAACAACTTGACCTTAAGCTTATGCTTGATCTTTGTAAAAGAGTAGCAGGTAGATTAGACAACACTCTTCGAATGCTCCAACCCTTTCAAAGTGTGATCGCTTTTACTTCTGTTCTTCAATCGTTTGAATTCGATGTATAAGTAGATCTGTTTTTGTATGATCGATATAGATGCAACTGTACGATCACAATCAGGATTCGAACAACACAACTCTAAACTCAAGTGTTTATGTGTATATATGTTCTAAAAAGATAAATAGAAAATTCTCTAAGAATTTCTGTAACAAAAATCTTCCTAAGGCTTTTTGAGAATAACAAACTGATAATGCAAAAGCCATAAATAAACCATTGTATATGACATGGTTTATATAGAGTATAGAATAACCTAGTCCCTCTGAAAATATGGAAAATTTGTGCACAAGACTTGGTAAACTTCTAGACCAACTGGGAAACAAATCAGGATAAGGAAACTGAAAACTGTATTGTGAACAGGACTCCTTGAACCGATTCAAGATTGGCAGAGAGAATTTCAAAGCCAACCTTGAGCCCTTGAACCGGTTTAGAGAGGCTGAACCGGTTCAAGTTGTCCAGAACTTGATTTTGGTTCTTTTCAGCCTTTAAACACTGTATATGGCAAGTCTGACTATTATTCCAAGTGAATGAATGTCCTAACCTGTTTAGAATTCTTCCTAAAGTGTTGTTCTTACCTTTTTCTTCGAATGATCTTCAAATATAGTAACTTTGAACAACTTCCCAGTTCTGTAGTCGCTGTCGAACTTGATAACTTGCAAAACAAGTAATTTGAATTACAACTCGACTTGAACTTGTTTTGTTTATGAGAATTGCCAAACATAAAATAATACCTCACAATGTCAGATCAAATCCATCTCATGTCCTGTAAATAACTACGTCTTCCTTCTCCCTCATTTATTGGCATGCAAATGAACAATTCAAACATTCTTCTAAGAGCAAGTGGTATAGTGCTAGCAATACAGGCTAGCAAAGCTTTGTTGGATTGCTAGCCACATCAGCAATTGTGCTGATGTGGCTAGCAACAGTATATTGCTATCTTTCAGGCACGGTATGGGTTAATTGATATTTATTATTTTGTTATTTTTTGTTGTACTTTTTTAATACCTTTAATATTTTTTGAGTAAAAAAAATTAAAAACATATTTATTTTTTTGTTTGCTTGTATTTTTTAAAACGGCTACTTTTTCAACCACTTGAATTTTTTTTTATTATATATTGCTATCTTTAAGTCACGGTATGGTTTAATTGATATCTATTATTTTATTATTTTTGCTTGTATTTTTTAAAACGGTTACTTTTTCAACCACTTGAAATTTTTTTATTATATATTTAAATAGAATACTTCTTTTAATACATTTAAATTAATATATTTTTTACAATAAAAATAAATTACATATAAAAAGAAATAGTAAGAAAAAAAAAAAAAAAAAAAAAAAAAAAAAAAAAAGAAGTCGTTCTGTAGTGTTTGGCTCGCAATGCTATTGTTAGCAGTTGCGATGTACTTTGCTATCATCCTCCTGGGTCCCACAAATTGCTAGCATTATACCAATTCAAAGGCTAGCAATACTGACTCATTTGCTAGCAAAAAGCTATCCATACCGGTTGCTCTAACATTTACTGGAGAACATGGTTGCAGGAAAGTGTAGATGAAGTTTTCTCATGCATGTATTCCTATTGATGTTCAGAAAATACCTGAAATCCAATAATCCTAAAAAGTTGAATATTCATCAGCCAGTTCTAGTCATATTTGACTTCGGTGCAGGGAAAGCAGGAGCATGGAATTTTCCTTTTGGATCCATCTTGAAAGTCTAGGCATGCATAAAAAGAAAAAGCAGGCATGGAAACAGTGCATCTAAACGAGAACATTTGAAATCTTCATTTTCATTTTATTAGTCAATTAAAAAAATTCTGCCCAAGAATTAGACCATCTGATTTTTCTAGAAACCAATTTTCCTAGAATTGTAGAAATGCAGTTTTACTGACCAAAAAAAAAAAAAAAAAAAAAATTGTTTTCTTGTGAATACTTTCAAACATATGAATAGTCCTTTACTCTGTTGCCAAGGATTAGTATTATAATAGATGATAAATGCTATACAGTACAGAATGCTTCACATACTAAATTAACCGAGAAATTAAAGTAAAAAAAAAAAAATACAAGCTATATAATCTTCTATATAGTAAAATGAGAAATCACATATGATATATAATATCACCCTTTGCTTTGGCAATATTATTATAATGAAGCTAATGACAGTATCATATAACAAAATGGGAAAATCTAAAAATCCTAAAAAGTTGAATATTCGTCTGCCAGTTTTAGTCATATTTGACTTCGGTGCAGGGAAAGCAAAAGCATAGAATTTTCCTTTTCGATCCATCTTGAAAGTCTAGGCATGCATGGAAACAGTGCATCAAAACCAGAAAATTTGAAACCTTCATTTTCGTTTTATTAAATTCTGTAGAAGAATTAGACCATGCAGTGACTTTGGGGAATCTGAAATTGATATATAATATCACCCTTTGCGTTGGCAATATTATTATAATGAAGCTAATGACAATATCATATAATAAAATGGAAAAATCCCATAATCCTAAAAAGTTGAATATTCATCAGCCAGTTCTAGTCATATTTGTCTTCGGTGCAGGGAAAGCAAGAGCATGGAATTTTCCTTTTGGATCCATCTTGAAAGTCTAGGCATGCATAAAAAGAAAAAGCAGGCATGGAAACAGTGCATCAAAATCCCATAATCCTAAAAAGTTGAATATTCATCAGCCAGTTCTAGTCATATTTGACTTCGGTGCAGGGAAAGCAAGAGCATGGAATTTTCCTTTTGGATCCATCTTGAAAGTCTAGGCATGCATAAAAAGAAAAAGCAGGCATGGAAACAGTGCATCAAAACGAGAACATTTGAAATCTTCATTTTCATTTTATTAGTCAATTAAAAAAATTTCTGCCCAAGAATTAGACCATGCTGTGACTTTGGGGAATCTGAAATTGATCTGATTTTTCTAGAAACCAATTTTCCTAGAATTGTAGAAATGCAGTTTTACTGACAAAAAAAAAAAAAAAAAAATATGTTTTCTTGTAAATACTTTCAAACATATGAATAGTCCTTTACTCTGTTGCCAAGGATTAGTATTATAATAGATGATAAATGCTATACAGTACAGAATGCTTCACATACTAAATAAACCGAGAAATTAAAGTAAAAAAAAAATACAAGCTATATAATCTTCTATATAGTAAAATGAGAAATCACATATGATATATAATATCACCCTTTGCTTTGGCAATATTATTATAATGAAGCTAATGACAGCATCATATAATAAAATGGGAAAATCTCAAAATCCTAAAAAGTTGAATATTCGTCGGCCAGTTTTAGTCATATTTGACTTCGGTGCAGGGAAAGCAAAAGCAAAGAATTTTCCTTTTTCATCCATCTTGAAAGTCCAGGCATGCATGCCCTTTGGCCCTTTTGTTTCTTTAGACTTCGCTTCCCTTTTGAACGTTTTTAATAAAATCTTACTTGTAAAAAAAAAAAAAAATCTAGGCATGCATGGAAACAGTGCGTCAAAACCATAAAATTTGAAACCTTCATTTTCGTTTTATTAAATTCTGTAGAAGAATTAGACCATACAGTGACTTTGGGGAATCTGAAATTGATCTGATTTCTCTAGAAACCAATTTACTTAGAATTGAAGAAATGCAGTTTTACTGACAAAAAATTGGGAGGGGGGGAATAGAGATGAGTGACTTGAGGATAAAAATTGAAGTTTAAACAAAAACAATAATACTTGCCACATCATGTGAGTTTTTGGTTGGACTATATATAATTTCCCAAATTAGATTAGACTAGCTAAATTAGTAGATTGACACAATCATGTATATATATATATATATATATATATATAGGAAGTAGTTCCAAATGATTGAATTGATTAAACATGAAAATCAACATTGTCCAATATCCTATAGCTAGGCACAGTTAAAGTGACTTCTTTTAGGATTTTATTTGCCTTGATCATTTTAGAATGCTAATTAGGCTGCCATTGGGTGGCATGTATGTTTTTTAGCAGGCAAATTCAAGTTCCATAAACCCAAATTATCATATGATAACAAAGATTAAAGGGCAAAGTACAGAAAACCCCCCCTCGACTTATAATCCTGTCCAATAAATTTCCTTTATCTTATTTTTTTTACCAAAGAACCCCCCTCAACTATCGAAGGGGGTAAAAGAGTTGATATTTGGACCAAAATGCCCTTTTATTTAAATCTTAATTTTTTCGAATTTCAAAAATTCATATCCACAAATCGTACATCCAAATATTGCAAATAATATATGTACAGAAATCTTATAAAACGAGGATTCTAGAAATATAAGATTTGTTTAATAAAATTTCATAACCAGAGATAAATAGATAATCTAAAAATTTCCTGTTATAATCTTATTTTATTTTTTATAAAATACTTGGATTATTTGCAAGAAAATTTTTAAAATTATTCATTTTCATATGGAGCATAACATATAAAAAAAAAAAAAAAAAAATTAGCCGCAATAGAGACTGAATATTCATTTTTATATATATTTTTAAAAAATGGTGAATCTATAAAAGAATGAAAATACTTTGACGCAAAATATGATATCTCATGAAATCAATATTTGTTGGAGCTAAATTTTTTATATATTTGGTTCCATATGTAAATGAATAGTTCTGAAAATTTTCTTGCAAATATCTCGAGTATTTTATAAAAATAAAATAAGATTGTTGGAGTAGATTTTTAAATTGCCTATTTATCTCTAGTTACAAAAGTTTGTTATACAAATCTTATATTCTTGAAATCCTTATTTCATAACATTTCATTGCATATATTACTTACAATTTTTAAATATACGGTTTGTAAGATATAAATTTTTGAAGTTCGAGAAAATTATGATTTAAATAAAAAAATATTTTATTCCAAATATGAACTTTTTTACTTCCTTTTGGGGGTGGGGGGGAACTTCGAATTGACCCGCTGTATTTTATGCATGACCGAATAAATTTTAATCTCAAAAAAAAGAAAAAAAAAAAAAAAAGAAAAAAAATTCTACAAATTCAATTTTGAATGTTTAAAGCAAGCAAGCAAAACCCCCCGTCTTTGCAAATGAGAAACCTCTCTCTCTTACTTTTCTCAATGAATATAACTCTGACATCACTTCTCTTCTTGATACTTTTTTCTCTGCCAATAAAATTATTGGCCTTAACTCAAGCTGAAGACCAGTTCATCTATAATGGCTTCAATGGATCCAATCTTCGTCTTGATGGGAGCGCTAAAGTTCATCCTAATGGTCTTTTGCAGCTGACCAACACTTCCAACCAACAAATTGGCCATGCTTTCTACCAATTTCCTCTGAAATTTAACACATCCTCATCCAGCTTGACTCGGTCTCTTTCATTTTCCACCACTTTTGTCTTCGCCATTATTCCAAATTCCCCAAAACTTGGTGGCCATGGCATGGCCTTCACCATCTCCCCATCCATGGACTTCTCACAGGCCAAGCCTATAGAGTATTTGGGACTCTTCAATAATAATAGCAACGGCAATCGTTCAAACCATCTCTTGGCGGTTGAGTTTGATACCGTTCAGACTCTTGATTTTGATGATATAGATGGGAACCATGTGGGAATTGATGTAAACAGCCTAAAATCTATTGCTTCGGCTCCTGTGACATATATTTCCAAAGGGGTAAATAAGAGCTTGGAGCTCGTGAGTGGGAATGCAATACAAGTTTGGATAGATTATGATGAAGTGGAAAAGCTACTCAACATAACATTAGCTCCTATCAAAACTCCAAAACCAATTCGACCACTCTTGTCAACAGCCCACGATCTTTCTCTAGTTCTCCTGGACAGCATGTATGTTGGTTTCTCTGCAGCAACAGGATCACTGACAAGCAACCACTATATTCTTGGGTGGAGCTTCAACAGGAAAGGGCAAGCACAGGAATTAGAACTCTCAAAGCTTCCTTCATTTCCAAGACACAGAAAATCAAGGGAGAACATAGGTCTACTTGTTACAGTCTCACTAATAACAGTATCAATGGTGCTGATCTTCATCGCGATCACCTGGACAGTTTATGTTACAAGGAGGAAAAGATATGAAGAATTACGTGAAGATTGGGAACAGGAATATGGACCTCAAAGATTTTCCTATAAGGATTTGCACAAAGCAACAAATGGTTTCAGAGGCAGAGAGCTTCTCGGAGAAGGAGGTTTTGGAAAGGTTTACAGAGGAGTACTCCCCTCTTCCAGCAAAGAAATCGCGGTAAAGAAAGTCTCCCACGGATCAATACAAGGGATGAAGGAATTTGTTTCTGAAATTGCTAGCATGGGAAGGCTAAGGCACAGGAACTTGGTGCAGCTTCTTGGCTATTGCCGAAGAAGAGGAGAGCTACTCTTAGTCTATGATTATATGCCCAATGAAAGCCTCGACAAGTTTTTATTCAGCAATGAAAAACCAAACCTTGATTGGGCTCAACGTTATCGAATCATCAAAGGGGTAGCATCTGCCCTGCTATATCTGCATGAAGAGTGGGAACAAGTTGTTATACATAGAGATGTGAAGGCCAGTAATGTTCTTTTGGATGCTGATCTAAATGGAAGACTTGGAGATTTCGGGCTGGCTAGATTGTGTGATCATGGAGCTAACCCTCAAACCACTACTGTGGCTGGAACCATTGGGTTTATTGCACCAGAACTTACTAGAACAGGCCAGGCGACTACTTTCACCGATGTGTTTGCTTTTGGGGCATTTATGCTTGAAGTTGCATGTGGAAGGAGGCCTGTAGAGCCCCAGCGATTGCCTCGAGAGAGAATTTTGGTTGATTGGGTTTTTGAGAGATGGAAACAAGGAGCTATTCTTGAAACCATTGACCCGAGATTGGGAGGTGATTATGCGGTAGAGGAAATGGAGTTCATCTTGAAGCTAGGTCTGCTCTGCTCACATTCTAATCCAGTGGCTAGGCCTAGCATGAGGCAAGTGATGCAATATTTGAATGGAGATGTCTTTCCGGAGATACTACTTGAACGTGCAGAGATTGGAATGGTAATACTTGGTCATGGAGCAACTGCTGATTTTGTAATGTCTACTTTTTCTTTGTCCAGCAACGAGTCAATCCTAATAAGGGGTCGTTAGATTGGAAAATTTTCATGCCTTGCATATATATATATATATATATATATTTGCTAGTTTGTGGCTGTAAATTCATTTTACTCAGAATTATGGATGTGGATTGTCTGTAATATTGCATTAACACTTCTAGATTATCATCATGCCTCACTCGTCTTATACTATCATCTATATATTTCTCTGTTGGCATTTCATATTGAAGAGAAACTCTCACATAAGAAGCAGCTTATTACTTTTTCATACGACTCAAAAGCTGTAGTAACAAAATCTGTTCTACAACAAGCCACTTCTCTGTGATGGATGCAATGTTGCCAAGATTGGTGAATTATACGGCTAAAGTTTCAGCATGAGCTTCCTATGTATATGTAAAAATGAAAATCTCAAACCCTTTGTATTTTATATCTTAGACCATGCAACATGGGGGAATAGCAAGCTTAGGTTAAGGGGAATTGGTTTATGTAGCAATCCATTTAAACTGAATTGATGTATATATATTTGCCACTTTACTTTTGTGAGTATTTTGTGCATAAGCTTGAGCCAGGGGAAGATGAGAGGGCACTTTCGCAGGTCATAACTGAGGCAAATTAAGACTGCAAATTCATCATCGCCAATTCCTGTTTCTACCAATGCAAATGAAGGTAATTAAGTTGTTCTCTTAGTTTTACTCATTGTAAAATTTTGATCGTTAATATTGGTGGGGTGAAGATAAAAAAAACTAGAAATGATGAATAGATGCAATCATGGGCAAACTAATGAAGGAATTTGAAATCCATTATATAGTCATGACTGTATCATCTTCACCGTCAACTATTATGGATATTTCTCTCTTTGGATTCTGTTCTAACCTTTCTAATAGTATTCACTTTGACAACTATTCAACTGCACTTCTCTTGATTCTGCTATTGATTCTATATTTATGGCTCACTGGGCATTGTGAAATTATTTTTCCTCTTATTTAAAGATGTGATAGTTCGTCCCCTAACATTATTTTGTACTACCAATTTACAGTGGTTGAGGAAGAAAACCAGGGAAGGATACTCCAAGCCAATTGAAGAGGAACATCTGTTCAACTGCAGATATAGAAATGGTTTTCTGTATTTAGTACCACAACAACAACCACCACCACCAATCCTTTTCCCAATTACTTGGGGTCGGCTACATGAATCCTATATTTTCATTCGGCTGTTTTCTGGATTTAGTGTAGAAGGTTTTTCTAGTAGTTAATAAAGTCTAGCCAATGTTCATTTCCTCCATTGGTATAAGACTGTTCTGTATATTTAGCTACATGTATTTCTAGTTTTCTACATAAATGTATATTGATAATAAGCTGTTTTTGCAGCTTCAGAGAATTTTAAACATTAAAATTCCGATGAAATTGTACCATTGATGCATATAAATTAACATGAAAATTATACTATGTTTCCAGTAAAAGAATAATCAGATATAGAAAAGGTAGTTCTGATGCAATTAACTTTTCTAAACAGCATCTCTACAAGCCTTTAGTTTGACTATAACCAGCTGAGAATGCGAAAACTGGTTAGCGTGAGAACTTGAGTTCGAGTATTTTTTTTTATTTTTTTTTTGTACAACTCAAAGGTTCGGTTTGTCTCTATTTTTTTCCTCCTAGCATTCCACATAGACAAGACTTACATTGGATAATACAATAACCAGCTGAAGTCTGAATATCCAAAAATAATCAACTTTATGCATATGAGATCAAGTAAGACTATAAATACAAATAAAAAACTATAATTCATTCCAATAAATTACATCTTAAGAATTAAATCTAATGTCCAATGAAAAAAATTTAGTGGCTTATATAACTTATGAAGGAAAATCTATCTTCTAGAATGGGTTCTAAAAAAAAAAAAAGAACTGGAGTTGTCTCCACAAGTAATGGAATAGGACCATTTCAAGATTTGATATTCCCAGTCTACTTTTCTCACTGTTTATGATGACAACTGACCAGTTTCTGAGAAGGAACATTCTCTAATATGGATTTAAAGGAACACGAAACAAAATTACATATAATAATACAATAGCAATATAAAAACAGGGTATGATTAAAATATTACAGAAAGAAGTCAAATATAACAATTCAACAAGCCATGTTTCAACATCATAGTTTGAAAATGTCAAGGAATCTTTTAGTCATGTTTGTAGTGTTCGGAAAATCTTGATGACCTGTTCAAGATATTCCACTCCCAACCACAAATTAAATTTATTTTATTTGAGTTTGGAATATTATTAATGACAGTATCATATGTAATAAAATGGGAAATTCCCATAATCCTGAAAAGTTGAATATTCATCTGCTAGTTTTAGTCATATTTGACTTCGGTGCAAAACCAGAACATTTGAAATCTTCATTTTCATATTATTAGTCTATTAAATAAAATATGTAAAAGAATTAGACCATGCACTGACCTCGGGGAATCTGAAATTGATCTGACTTTTCTAGAAACCAATTTACCTATAATTAAAGAAATTCAGTTTTACTGACACCCAAAAAAATATAAATAAATAAATAAAATAAAAATTAGTAAGGCGGTTTTCTTGTAAAAACCTTCAAACATATAGTCCTTTAATCTGTTGCCAAGGATTTACTATTAAAATAGATGAGCAATGCTATACGGTACAGAATGCTTCACATACTAAATGAACCAAAAAATTGATGTTGTATAGAGTTGAGTGACTTGAGGAAAAAGATCGAGGTTTACACAAAAACACTACTTACTTGACATACTGTTCGGGAAAAAAAAATAATAATACATGTGGAATTTTAGGTTGGACTTTATATAATCTCAAAGATTAGATTTACTGGATTAGTAAAATGATACAATCATGATGTATATAGGAAGTTGTTCCAAATGATTGACTTGATCAAACATGTTATAATATGCCCCATAGCATGAAAATCAACATGTCCCAATATCCTATAGTTATGCACAGTTGAAGTATTACTATTTCTGGATTTTTTTTATTTTTTTATTTACAAGGCAAGAAGGGTTAGAAATTATATTAGTAAATGCAGAGAGTCGAAGTCTGACACTTCAAAATCTACCGAAGGCACTAACCCGCTGGGCTATCGAGGCATTTACTATTTCTAGATTAATGTACTTCTGTAAGATTTTTTTTTTTTTTTCCTTAATCATTTTAGAGTGATAAGAATAAATTAAAATTGAAATGGTGGACTTATTATAATCCTAGCCACCATGTACTCCTTCTTTGACCCGCTGTATTCTATGCATGACCCATAGTGACATTGATGTTGGAACTAACAAATTTCAATCTAAAAAAAAAATCTACAAATTCAATTCTCAATGTTTTAAGCAAGCAAGCAAAAACCACATCTGTCTTTGCAAATGAGAAACCTCTTTCTCCTCCTTTTCTCAATGAACATTACTCTAAGATCGCTTCTCTTCTTGATACTTTTTTCTCTGCCAACAAATTTATTGGCCTTAACTCAAGCTGAAGACCAGTTCGTCTATAATGGCTTCAATGGAGCCAATCTTCGTCTTGATGGGAGCGCTAAAGTTCATCCTAATGGTCTTTTGCAGCTGACCAACACTTCTGACCAACAAATTGGCCATGCTTTCTACCAACTTCCTTTGAAATTTAACACATCCTCATCCAGGTTGGTTCAGTCTCTTTCATTTTCCACCACTTTTGTCTTTGCCATTGTTCCACAATTACCATCTCTTGGTGGCCATGGCGTTGCCTTCACCATTTCGGCATCCATGGACTTCTCACAAGCCACGCCAACACAGTATTTGGGACTCTTAAATTCTTCTAACAACGGCCTGTCTTCAAACCATCTATTGGCGGTTGAGTTTGATACCGCTAAGAGTCCTGATTTTGAAGATATAGATCAGAACCATGTGGGAATTGATGTGAACAGCCTAAAATCTATTGTTTCAACTCCTGTGACATATACAGAAGAAGGGACAGAAAAGAGCTTGGTGCTCATAAGTGGAAAGGCAATACAAGTTTGGATAGATTATGATGATGCGGAAAAGCTACTCAGCATAACATTAGCTCCTATCGAAACCCCAAAACCAATTCAACCTCTGTTGTCAACAACCATCGATCTTTCTCTAGTTCTCAAGGATAGTATGTATGTTGGTTTCTCGGCTGCAACAGGATCAATTACAAGCAACCACTACATTCTTGGGTGGAGCTTCAGCAGGAAAGGGCAAGCACAAGAATTAGAACTTTCAAAGCTTCCTTCATTTCCAAGACGCAGAGAAACGATGGAGAAACCAGGTCTAAAAGTTACAGTCTCACTAATAACAGTATCAATGGTGCTGATCATCGGCGCGATCACCTGGACAGTTTATGTTATAAGGAGGAGAAAATATGAAGAATTACGCGAAGATTGGGAACAGGAATATGGACCTCAAAGATTTTCCTATAAGGATTTGCACAAAGCTACAAATGGTTTCAAAGACACAGAGCTTCTTGGAGCAGGAGGTTTTGGAAAGGTTTACAGAGGAGTACTCCCTTCTTCCAGCAAAGAAATCGCAGTAAAGAAAATCTCCCACGGATCAGTACAAGGGATGAAGGAATTTGTTTCTGAAATTGCTAGCATGGGAAGGCTAAGGCACAGGAACTTGGTGCAGCTTCTTGGCTATTGCCGAAGAAGAGGAGAGCTGCTCTTGGTCTATGATTATATGCCCAATTCAAGTCTTGACAAGTTTTTATTCAGCAATGAAAAACCAAACCTTAATTGGGCTCAACGTTATAGAATCATCAAAGGGGTAGCATCTGCCCTTCTATATCTACACAAAGAGTGGGAACAAGTTGTTATACATAGAGATGTAAAGGCCAGTAATGTTCTTTTGGATGCTGATCTAAATGGAAGACTTGGAGATTTCGGGCTGGCTAGATTGTGTGATCATGGAGCTAACCCTGAAACCACTAATGTGGTTGGAACCGTAGGGTATATTGCACCAGAGCTTACTAGAACAGGCCAGGCAACGACTTTCACCGATGTGTTTGCTTTTGGGGCATTTATGCTCGAAGTGGCATGTGGAAGGAGGCCTGTAGAGCCACAAGGATTGCCTCAAGAGAGATTTTTGGTTGATTGGGTTTTGGAGAGCTGGAAACAAGGAGCTATTCTTGAAACCAGTGACCCGAGATTCGAAGGTGATTATGTGGTAGAGGAAATGGAGTTGATCTTGAAGCTGGGGCTGCTCTGCTCACAGTCTAATCCAGTGGCTAGGCCTAGCATGAGGCAGGTGACGCAATATTTGAATGGAGACGTGTTGCCGGAGATACTCCTTGAAAGTGCAGAGTTTGGCATGGTAATACTAGGTCATGGAGCACCTGCTGATTTTGTATTGTCTACTTGTTCTGTGTCCAGCATCGAGTCAATCCTAATAAGGGGTCGTTGAATTGGAGATTTTTCATGTATATATATATATATATATGCTAGTTTGTGGCCGTAAATTCATTTTACTCAGAATTATGGACGGTGTTTGTCCTGTAATATTGCATTAACACTTCTAGATTATAATCATGCGTCACTCATCTTAAACTATTAGCTATAGCTTTCTCTGTAGGCAAGGGAACTCTCATATAAGAAGCAGCTTATTACTTTTTCGTAAGACTCAAAAGCTGAAGTAACAAAATTTGTTCTACAACAAGCCACTTCTCTGGGATGGATGCAATGTTGCCAAGATTGGTGAATTATACGGCTAAAGTTTCAGCATGAGCTTCCTATGTATATGTCAAAATGAAAATCTCGATTTTCAAAAAAAAAAAAAAAAAAAAAAAATTAGGAAAAAATGAAATTTTCAAACCCTTTGTATTTCCTATCTTAGACCATGCCAGAAGGGCAAATAGCAAGCTTAGGTTAAGGGGAATTGGTGTGTGTAGCAATCCATTTAAACTGAATTGATGTATATATATTTGTCACTTTACTTTTGTACTAAGGGTGCGGATAACCTGCTTCAAGGAAAACTGATGGGGAAAAATAGCAGAGTACTTAAGTTACACACTGAAAATGACAAAGAAGTGCTAATGAAGCTCAAACATTGTTTATTTTACATCAAAATTTACGAAGCAGTAGTCATGGACAGCAAATGTAGGAATATCACTAACTTATCTATTCTCTGAAAGCAATTCTGCTTCCTGAGAGAGCCCATAGTAGAAAGAGCGGGCTTGGCTTCAATACTGGCAGCTCCCATTGTCACTCCTAGCTGTTGGGTCATAGTTTTCCGCTGAGGGATCTGTGCAACCCTCAGGGACAGGAACATGAACTTGTTGGGCTGCCATGCCTGAACAGAAACAATAACAGAACTTTGAAAAACCTCCTCTAATCCTAATATGTTATCAGAAAATAAAATTCAAACCCCACAAATAGAACCATGAGGATTAAGGATGCTAACCATAGAAACTTCCTCTCTTAATAGAATCTTGGTTTGCATCTCCAAGAGCTGCCTCACTCAAGTACTTGTCAGCCAATTGAACTCTCTTCACGTTCTCCTGTTCCTGGACAAGCATATTACCATACTCAAGAAGCTTCTCAACTGTCATTTTGGGCTGCTCGAAAGTTGGGGGTCCCTCTTTTGAGTTCACGAGCTTCTTCCCGATGTCCTGTACTCCAACACCTGATATCCAGTTCCTCACTTCATCATCATAGACTCGAGCCCTGAGGGCCCCAAAGAAGTCTGCAAAATGGCAAAATATGTTATTGGAATTTCTCTGTTCATCAATTCTGAATGAAATCATAATATCTGACGTGCTGAGACTGTCACTATGCTTACCAATAGATTGGCCAGGGAAGGTATCAACAATCCTAATGACATCCTCCTGAGGAACATTGTCAGTCTTAAAGATTCCTGTGCAGACACCAATTCGGTCCTCCCTAGTGGGAGCCCAGTAGAATTTCTCCATACGACCATCGCGAATGAGAGGGGCATACAATGTGGAGAAGTCATTACCAGTGCATATGATTGGAACCCGGGCATTTTCTTCCTTGTTGTACATTCCAGGAAGCTGGACATTTGTGGGGTTATCGGCAATGTTCATAAGGGTGGCATTCACCATCTGGTTGTTGACAGTGTATTGGGTAGTTCCACCCATCCTTCCAGCTCCAGCATCTAGATCATTGATAAAGAGGCAACACATTTTCCCTTTCTTAATGATATCAGATGCTTCACGGTACCTTTGCCTGATTAATTTTGCAGGCTCTCCAGCGTTCCCACTTTCCAATTCTCCAGCACTCATCATGATGGGGCTGAAATTACATTACAACAAAATCAAAACGCTACACATTTTCTTTTTCTTTTTCTTTTTTCTTAAAATAAAAAACAAAAACTGGTTTTCCGGCACCATGGGATAGAATAAAGTAGTTGGACCACGAACTCACGTGATTCCCATCTTGGCAAAGACGAGCTCACACTGGAAAGATTTCCCTTGACCTTTGCCTCCCCAGATACCAAGAATGAGAGGAACCTAATACCAAATTCATAAGAAATGTTCATTCTGTATTCAAACCAAGTTTGTGTACATTCAATACAATAATATGAAGGAAAACAATTTCTGGCTTTGAGATGCAAATAAAATAACTACCCTAAAGCATGATTTGGTTTGCTACCAAATTTTTGTATGAACCACATACAAGATAATCTAAATCCTCTGGAATTTCTATGAACACTATGTGAAGGTGCACACCAAACCTGCACCACAAGCATATGTAGCACTAGCAAAAAATTCTTTGTTTCTAATTTCTAAAATAATTTTGATTAGTGTATCACTCTCCATCAACTTTAACAAAGTTTCTCAGACTTCCCATGTGGGACTATTTTTGGAGACTATCGAACAAGTTGAAGTCATAAAAACAAGAAGAGAATTTCAACAAATTTTAGTTGGCTCACCTTGATGTTAGGCAAGGTCATGAAGTTTTTGGTCATGTGAACAACAAGTTTGTCCATGAAAGCTGGAGCAATGTAGAACCCATCCATATTGTTATCCAAGTTGTATCTGAAACATAATTAACCATCCTAAAACGAAAAATAAAAACATACGCATAATATATCTTAAAATAAAATTCAATTAGTCATCATCAAAAAGAGTAATTTTCTGTCATAAATATCTTACTGGCGAAGTCCGGTACTGACGTATTCATAAGAACTCATCACAGCAAAGTGAGTTCCTGCGTCCTGAGGAGCCTGGAAGAGAGAATCAACCATTCCCTTTCCTCTGACTATGTCCTGCTGGTCATCAGACGTGTCATAGGCAAGGCCTCTCCATTTGTCCTTGTTTGTCTGCTTATCATCATTCACTTCCGCCACAATCTTAAAGCTTTTAGATTCCATTTTCTGTTGGGTAGTTCTCGAGTTCACTTTCTTCAAACCACCACCCAAAAAGGCCGAGCTCGGTACGGAATTACCTCCAGAACTAGAGCTGTTCATGCTCAACTGCATCAAAGATGAACAAACCAAAAAGTCACAAACTTCACATTCAAACTAAATTTTCTCAAATTCCAATTCCAAGACACCAAATTCATGCTACCGAACATATATATATATACCTAATGATTTTCCACAAAGTGGTGACTAAATGTGTAACTCGAACAAATCTTTCCATTTGCCCACCTATGAGAATTTCTACCAATTCTTGTTTAATTTATTCATCAAAGTTCATCCTAATCTCCGTCCAGATTTTTACAAGTACAGATTGATTTATTATGAATCACACAGATCTATGTATCATAAATAGTTCAATTTAAATGCTTTAGTTTCAGATAATACTTCTATAATGATTCCCAAATAAATGAATGGAAGGATTAAAAATTTAAAATAGAGAGAAATGATCATACCGGTGTTCTGTTAACAGTACAGACATATGAGATTGTTGAAGCCATGGAGACTTAACTGTTCTAGAGAGTAGTCTGATCAAACAAGATGAGAGAGACTCAAATAGGTGTATGAGAGAGTGGTGGTGAATGGTTTTTCTAGTGTACTAGTGATCGGTTTTGAGTTCGAAATAAGATTGGTGTACGAATTCCTAGAGGCCACACAATTGGGATTGGGTGAGTGACAAGTGGCATAGTTTTAAGACAACCGTTACTTATGAACAAAATAGGATATACTTCCATTTCATGAATATAGTGACCGTTGAGGTTACTGTTTCAACCTTTCTTTTGTTGATAAGATTTAGTGTTTAAACATTCTCCACCAGTGAATGAGTTTCGTTTGTTATTTATTAATATATATATATATATATATATATATATATACACACCGACACATAAATGATCTCTGGCACATCAATGAGCAAGAAATGTATTTGCACAAAGCATCATAATAAATGTTGGATATGATTGTTAGGTTTTTTGTTTTTGGTTTTTATAACTACCTTTTTTTTTTAACACTTGAATCATATTCAATATGTTATGATTCAAGTGTAAAAAGGTAATTAAAAAAAAAAAAAAAATTACCATCATTATATTTGGTGGAAATAAATTTTTGACTTGCTTGTGTGAGAAAGAGATATTTTCGATATATATATATATATATGGAAAATGGAAAAAGAAGTGGCATCTATTGCACCTTTAGTCTAGAAATATGGATTGATAGAAACTAGAACTTGTGATAAATTTCTTGCTTGCTTGTGTGAGAGAGATATTTTTGATATAGATATATATGGAAATGGAAAATGAAGTGGCATCTGTTGCACCTCTAGTCAAGAAATATGGATTGATGGAAACAACTGATTGTCGAAGAAAAAGAAAAAAAAGAAGAAGAAGATAATAGCAATTAATGGATTAGGATGTACCACCTGTATTGGACCTTATCACTCCGTTAGTTGCTCAAAGCCGAAGGTGGCGGGGCTATAACCTGCAGAAAAGCCATTCTACATGTTTGTGGTTAATTAGGAACCAATGCTTGGAGCAGTTATTAGAACTCCGGATTCAAAACTTCTTTAAGGGATTGTATATCGTTTGCATTTTGCTGCATGCTCATTCTAAACTTCTTTAAGGGATCCAAAGGAGCAGATATATACAAGATAAAGAAAGAGAGAAGCTTTGGATAGCCGATCACATATATGACAGCGGCTCAATTTCATCTGTTGAATGAGGTAAGTTTGTGTGTGAGTTCCACATTAGACAATCATTAGTCACAATTGTCATTGGTCAAAAGCAGCCCTCGTGTAGAAATGTGATACATCATCAGACTTCAAGTTCGAGTTTTGAGGTTGAGATGCCTCAAAACAGTAGCAGAAAACTGGTCCAAGATTTCTTGCAGAAGTACCAAGTTAGTTCAGCTTCAAAACATGCAAAGCTTCTCTCCTTATAGTTGGATCCAAGATTACCTGAATAGCATGCTGTTTTTTGCTTTGCTTGTAATGCACCTTGTTTTGCAGAAACAGATCACAAATGTACAAACTCTAATCATATCCTCACAAGAAAAGAAAGCCTTTTTGCTGCCTTTTCTATGGCTGTTCCCCACCTAGAAATTACTATTAAGAAAGTAGACTTTGATATGGGCCAAGAATGAAGCTCTATCTGGTTAAGTTCATTGAAGTCCTTCAGGTGGTGTCTCTTTATGATATCAAAAAAGCCATATGAAGCATTGAAGATCTTTCCCGGAAATGTTTTTACTTACTCGCTTACACATGTTAGAAATTTTGCCAACTGCAGAACAATTTTCAGTTCAACACTGCAAACTAAAAGCCAGTTTTCAACAGAGACGGTTGAAAATTCTTTGAAGTACATCATAAGAAGAAAAGTTACATACTGATACAATGAATTTATGGGGGCGGGAATACACCTTCCAAGGTCACCTGAGAAACATGCGAGACTGATTAAAGAGAATTTCTGGTAACCGGGAGTTCATCGTGATAATTTCGGCCACTCCAGTTTCTACTTCAAGATTTTGGATTCAATTTCTTCCAAGCTCAATCCTTTAGTTTCTGGGACAACAAATACTACAAACACAAGTGATACCAAAGCAACTACCCCGAAAAGGAGAAAGAGGTTATCTGCCCCAAGCAACGCCTGCATAATTGAAGAATTGAAAATATGTAATGTCAATGAGCACTCCATGACAAGTTGCCTTGATATTAATTATGAACCATGTGCAAGTATAAATAGCTTTGAGGTAAGAGATTGAACGGAATGTAATCAATACCTTCAATGGCGAGAACGCAAAAGTTACAATGGCATTTGAACCGAAGTTTGTAAGAACTGCCAAACTAATCCCTTTACCTCTCGTGCGAAGCGGGAATATCTCTGATACCATAAGCCAACTGATAGGCCCAAAAGATATCTGAAATGGAATTAGGAGAACATAACTTTCAAGTAGCCAACAGTCATTGACAAAGAACGGGGAAGAAAGAAAAACCAAGCAACCAATGTCTCTAATTATAACCTATTTTATTTATTTGGGATCTCTATGATTAAAGATTACAGCTTCTTCTGTCATTGGATCTTCAATTAGTATAAATAAAAAAATAAACAACACTAAAACACTACAGCAATTCTCCATTGAAGAGTCAATATATAAGATGGTACCTGGTAGCAGCCAACATAGAGGAGCAGAGCAGCTACAGCAACAAGTGGAAACCCACCAAGAAATTTATAATAAGCTGAAAGGAGAAACAACGACAAGGCCTGTAGGACATATAAGGAAAGCAAAAATAAACCATTTTCTTTTTCATTGACAAACAAGTTGCTGGTACATCATAAGGAAAAACTAAATCAAAGTGCACAAGGGTAGCAGGATAAATACAATTCCACTGACGCCTCCAATCAGCAAGGGTCTTCTCCCAAGATCATCTACTTTTAGGACGGCTATGCTTGTCATCAGAAACTGGAGGAGGATCAATTAGAACAAGATATTACTCTCTCAAAAAACAATGCAGAACCCTCGAAACATAAACAGTACCAGAAAGAGGACAGTAAGCAGGGAATTTATATTCCTCGAGATAGGGAATTCAAATATCAAATTTCATAGAAATAATTATTAGAAATACCTTGAACACTCCAATTACGACGGAAACTCGAGTAGCATCAGAGGCCGCAGAGAATCCAGCAGTCTTTGGATCCAATATCAAGAAAAGCCAACGATTAGACAACTTGACAGAAACACAAAAGAAAAGGTTCGTTTTAATTATCTAGTACCTGGAGGATTGGACCAGCGTAATATAGAACACTTGGCTGCCCAGTTATCTGTCACAATCAGTTGGTAAATCAGCTTATGGAAATCATATCCCCATATTGTCTCCATGATGTTATTATAACAAAAGAAGACACAAGGATAGATATAGAATTAAAGAAATGGCATAAAATGACAAAATAAACCTGTTGAAAGAGAACCAACCCTCCTCCAATTGTAAATGCTTTCAAAGCTGGCCCCTGAAACACTTCCAAGAAACTTCCCTCCGATTCATCTGTATAGGCAGATTTCAAGGAGACAAGGGTGTCTTCTATTTGCCTCTCAGAGACTTTATCACCAGCAAATCGGCCCCGCAGTTTGCTCAGGGCAAAAACAGCCTTCTCTTTGTATTCCTGTAAAGATCCTTTACCTTGAACTCCCCGTAGAAGCAACCAGCGTGGAGATGGTGGGAGACCCCACATACCTAACCCCATTAACAAAGCTATTGGTGCACTAAGCCCAAACATGTAACGCCACCCTCCAACTGCATTAATCTGAAAGTTTCCAACAAAGTAACCCAACTGCAAAAATCCCCATTTTGAACTCAGATCATATCAAACAAAAAGAATATTTATAAGTTGAATAAACATAAAAAACAATTAGAAACATACCAAAATCCCCAGAACTATGAAGAGCTCTTTTAATGATATTAGAGTCCCGCGAATCTGAGATGGACAAGTTTCTGCAATATAGAGAGGAGCCCCATGCATGGCCTGTCAAATGTAATCTTTTAAAAATTACTCCACTAATTCTTATAAATTTACCAGTTACCAGAACATTAATTGAGAGTTCCAGAGAAGCTCACCAAACCAATACCAAGACCATAGAGAAGCCTTCCTAATAAGAGAACCCCGAGGCCCGGAGCATAGGCTGTGATCAAACCACCAAGCATATACAATAAAGCTCCTGTGATGAGTTCACGCCTCCTCCCTTAACAGATGAATCCAAGATATCAGCTAACATTAATCATGAAGAACTTCCACATATCACTCAGGATAAATTAATTAAGTAAGAAATTCACCAAGGAAATCTGCAATTGGGTAAACCAGGAGGGAACCAAGAAGCGCTCCGTAAAGGGAACCACTAACCTATATTCAAGGCCATATGAGAAGGAAAAAAAGACGCTGATTCACTGAAAATAATGGATAAAATTTTGTATTCCACTGTAAATGCAGAAGTAGAGCAAGTATAGACCATACAACAAGACCAAGTTGAACAGCTGAGAGGTTGAACCAAGTTGTGCCACTAAGTTCTGGTGACTGCAAAATCAACAATATCATTAAATTTAATTTAACAATGCAGATTTTCATGTGATCAATAAAAATAAAAAATAAATAAATAAAATTGAAGCGGCAATCATCAGAACTATTAAAAGTGGCCCATAAACTATGACCATACCTGCAATGAGAGGGTGGCACTAGATGTTGCGCCGATGTCATATCCAAATAACAAACCTCCCAAGGCTGGGAAGACAAACCTGAAATTATATTGAACAATTAATTGAGGTTGATGGGGGTAAGGACCAGAGGTCCAGAAACCTGAACCTTAGGTTCTGATAGAGAGTTAGCGCAAGGTTTGTGATCTATACCTAGAGGGGGTAGAATAGGTATTGCTTGAAACTTAACTAATTTTAACAACTTTTTGAATTTTTAACTAAATTACTGAAATTTCAAATTTATATTGAAACTAAATATTAAATAGGGGTAAATTAAAGCAGTATAAAGCATGAAAATGAACAATAAAGATTTTTATGTGGAGAATGCTAACGGAAGAAACTACGGGACTTAGTTAGTCCAGTCATATAAAAAATCTACTCGCAGAAAGATATATTACACTAAGTTAAAATTCACATACCCCTGAAGCCTGAGAAATTATTACATGGTCCCGGCCAATCCACAGGAGGCTAAATAAGCAAAAAGGACCAGAAGTCCAGAAACCTAAACCTTAGGTTCTGATAGAGATTTAGCGCAAGGTTTGTGATCTATACCTAGAGGAGGTAGAATAGGTATTGCTGGAAACTTCATTTATTTTAACAACTTTACACTAAGTTAAAATTCACATACCCCTGAAGCCCAAGAAATTATTGCATGGTCGGGGACTAAATGGTCCCGGCCAATCACAGGAGCCCACATCAGCAAAAAGCTGCAAAAAGTTGACACAATTGCGTACATGGCTGTATGTGATCGGCTGGGACCATGTAGTCCCGGACCATGTAAAAATTTCTCCTAAAGCCCTGTTACCTCTTGACATAGACTGATCCACTACACTCTCACACAAAGTCTCTAGGCACAAAATTTGCTCTCTCAATAGACATCGCTCCTCACGAATTTGCTTTTTTAATAGCAATTTTGATCTCTAGACTAGTCGTCCACTCCAATCTTGATTGATTGATAGATTGTTGATGTCAAACTACTCAAATTAACTCCATAACAGTTATGATGTCTATTAGAGTTAGAGAATGTTTAGCTTACTTCCAAAGGGAGGTCAAGGTTCAAGTCTCAGAAGAGACGTGTGTGTGAGTACCAACTACGAAAAAAAATAACGAGGGAAATTTACTAAACCGTAGCTGATTTAATATATAAAGGTTTTTACTTATCAAAAAAAAAATAAAAAAAAAAAAGAGAGAGAGTTGGAGAATGTTTAGTGTTTTACCTGTTTACTTTGGGGCATTATTGTAATTTTCTTATCACAATATATACAGGAGAGGTGTAGAAACCCTACAGCCATGAGATTATATTCCTTGATTTTTCTGCTTCTTTCGACTATTCTTTAAGGGGTAAGTGCACTTAACACCCCTACAGTATCCTGATAGTGCATATAACCCCCTGATGTTCGCTAAATCCCCTCAAATTTAAAAAGCGTGCAAATAAGGACCTCCTAACACATTAAACTCGTGCAAATACCTAAATATCCTTACAACTTTTTTTTACATTATTTTTAAAAAGATTCAAATGGAAAATGACCATGTAACGACCCGAATCCGTGAATCCGAATCGCTAACCGGGTCCTTACCCGAACTCGAAGACACACTAGGGGTAAAATGGTCATTTTACAATGTGAGAGGGTAATAAGACCTTAAATTAGTCAAATGAAGTTTAAAATAATTATTCTAGACATTTCATAATGTTCGGTGAGGTTCTATGGTCACCGGATATGATTTCCCAAAAGTACCCTTACCCAGTTCATGGGAAATTACGACACTGCTCCACTAAAATGACCATAACTCTCTACGTGAATGGAATTTGAGGATGAGATTGGTCTCAATGGAAAGCTAACTCAAAATCCTTGAAAATGGACTTAAGAATGACCCTATTTAGGTTTGTAACGAAGAAATTATGACCATCCGAAGTTATAAGGTCAAAGCTGATAAAATTGTGAAGGACAAAAGCCCACTGGAGGGCTGGAACCGGCTCCCAATTCTTGCTACTGGTTCCACATGGATAGAATGTCACAATGCGAACCAAAAACACCCTTGAACCAGTTCCTAAGTCCAGAAATGCCCTGAAAGCCTAAAATCATGAACTTGTGCACTTAGGCACTCTTATGGTCCATTGGTGACCTTAATCCAAGTTCAAAACCTGTCCCAACACAATAAAAAAAATGTTCTTTATGCCATGATCCCTTATATCAACAATTTAATAAATCTCAACATCATTTTCCATTCAAATAAAAATTAATACAAGGCCCTAACACTTTTGTCCCAAATTTACATCAAATAGGCCAAAGGCTCATAGCTAAATTTACATAACTATGCTAAACACTCATAATATATATCAAAATGTTGCTTTACAAAAATGATGGCCCGAGTCTACAAATGATTGCAAAAACACACTTCAAGTTTCCCCCTCATGCTTGTGGAGGGATGTCCTCCACCACCTCCTTTCCATGATCTGAAAAATGTTAAATATAAGGGGTGAGCAAAATTGCTCAGTAGGTGGTGCCTAAGACACACCCCTTGTGACCCCGTGAATCCAAACAATGAATAGAGCAAAAGAGAACGGGATCATACAACTCCGGGGAGAAAATATAACCACAATTTCAACAACAAACAATCCAAGTCATAACAAACCATGCCGTGCAATAGGATGCAATGCCATGCAATGTCACACCCCATTTCCAAAACCTTTTCCGTCATCACTTCCAAACCGTTAATGCAACCCACCCCATGGCAGCTCCATGGCGGCACGAGAGAAGGATTGACTAACTGTCCCTGACCACAAGGCATCTCCAGGGCGTCATTTGAGGCCCAGTTAACTCAACCACGCTAGGGCAGTTTCCCTAATTCCCTTTAGGTCACATTAACGCCACGGTCCCATATGCAACTCCTAGGCGATCGGGTTTTCACAAACCTTTCGTCAAAACCTTTTTCCCAAAATCATTTTCTTTCCTTTTTAAATCACATTTTTCCCTTTCATTGCCCAATGTCATGCATGAAATACATCATGCCTTTCAATGCCATGCTCATGGAGGATTTCATGTTTCACAAATCAAACATTAGCAATAAAGCATGCCTTGTAGAGAATTTCAAAGAAAATAAACATTATGCTTCCATATCACAACATCCAGCATTTTCCACACCACAGGCAAATAATATCATCAACTAAGCATGTTTTTTCATATAATTTTAACTAATACATAGTCACATAATTTACAAAATTTCTATGGCATAATTCATACTATCAAGTCATGATATTTAGCACCAAAGGTACAAAGAGCACAAATTAATCATCGATTAAACATGGTTCATCATCATATATACTAAGCAACACATAGTCACAACTTGGCACAACATATATATACAATATAGCATGAAATTTCTACAAAATTAAGTATGCTAACCACAATTAAGATGATTAATTCACAAAAGGCCCAAGAAAATATGAATTAGAAACCCCTACCTCTAAATGAAGCAAAACCCCCGATTTGCCCAATCCAAGCCCTAGAATTCGAAATTCCAAGGAGCACCAAAAGTGAAATTGCTCCAATCAATGCGAAAATCTCGACGAGCTCTCCGTTTTGCCGCAAACAGCTCCCAAAAATACCAAAAATTGAGGGAGAAATCTAAGTTTAAAGATTGAAACCAAAAGAAAAAGAAAAGCTCAAGAAATAAGAGGAGAGAGAGAGACTTGCGGGAGAGAGAGAATTTGTGAGGCCAATGGTGGCCTTTTGCCACTTAAAGTGGTGGTGGGTCCTACCACCAAAACTAATTTATTATTATTATTTTTTCTTTTATTTTCTTTTCCTTTTTACACCACATAATTATATATATACACATTTAATAATTCACAACCACATAAATATAATAAATAAGATGCATGAGGTGCAAATGGACCCAACTAAAAATCCCTGTACACAATCATTCCGGTAGCGGGTCCCACACGGGACTGTCCGGTCCGAAAAACTGAAAAATGCCAAAATGGTAACCCTTGCATTTCAAAGAGTCCTGAACTCAATGAAATACCCCAATCAACTCTCGGATACACCCGACACGCAAAACAAGGAAAGACGAAAATACCCTTGAAAAATCATAAAATTCCAGAAAATGAAAAATGGCGAAAATTGGAGACATTATGGACCAAATTGGATGTTGTTTCAAAAAACAACCCATTACAATTCATCGAATTCCAAATGGGAAATGACCAAATTGGATATTGTTTCAAAAAACAACCAATTACAATTCACCAAATTCTATTATTTGTCTTTCTCTAACTTGACTTTAGAAAAACCACTATTGCATTAACCATCAATTTCAGAGAAATATGCTTTTTGCTCAGAGAACTATTCAAATATAGTTTATGTGAGAAAGGTTCATGCTTGCATATTCACTTTTGGACTCTTAAACATCATCTTTTGGGGCTCTAATTTCTCAATTGCGTGCCAAGTTTGGCTTCTAGACTGAATATAGATGGGCATCTGATAAGATCATCGACAACAATCTCTCATTTTGGAATTCAATCCTTGTCAGGTATTTTGGAACTGGACACTATGATGAAGTTCTAAGGCAATATTTAGATTTAAGACAATCAAGAATTAGTGTGGATAGTTCAGCCATTACATTTGGTTTCAAGAGTTGTATAGAGTTGGGAAGTTTAGAATTTGGAAGAGTGGCTCACGTGGATGCTTTGATATTTGATCTGAGTGTAGACCATTTTGTGAGTTCATGGCTCATTGAGTTGTATTCTGAATATGGCGATGTTGATGATGCATCTAAAGTGCTCGATCTTCTACGCCAATGATTACAGAGTATGCCAATGTTGGTGATCACCATGCCTATGAGGCTTTTAGAATTGCTCATCGTATGTAGGGGGAAGAACTCTGTCCTAATTGAGTGACTTTCGTGAGCTTACTTCGGGTGTTGGCGCACGCTTAGAGGCACTAGAAGAGGGTTGGTCTATTTATGGCTATGCTATTAGAAAAGAAATTGGATTTTCAAATGAAGTTTTTGAAACAAGTCTACCAAGAAACATATATATATATATATATATATATATATATAGAGAGAGAGAGAGAGAGGTGCAAGATATTGTCATGGAGTAGAATAAAAAGGAGAGAGAGAGGGGTTAAATATTGCAAATATATATAAGAAACCAGCAAGGGGTATTTTCGGAATCACAACTCACATGTCACAAAAAAGTGGTTTGAGGGAGGTATTTGAACCTTTTTTCAAAATTAGGGTCTGACATTGCTAATTTTAAAAAGTAGGGGGTCATTGTGCACATCACAAACTTTAACTATGTCAACACACTAATATAACACTTACCAATCTAACGCAATTGATAATGCTTAAAGAAAAACATATGAATGCACCCAAATTATGCTGCAAATCTCTCTAACTTAAGCACCTCTTAAGTATGTTTTGTATCACCTAGGGTTTGTACTATGATAGAGAATTTATTAACAAATCAGAGTTGTAGAGAGAATAGAGCATTAGTGTTTTGATCTGAAAAGAAAACTGACTTCGAGTGGCTCGGTCAAGGAACATGTCAATTGATTGACATAGATCCTGCAGCCTTCGATTGATACATTGATCGATCAAAGTAGTCAAGAATCTAATGTCAATTTATCTTGGTACCATCACTATTGAAAAATACACTTTTTCCCTTGGTTGAAACTTAAATTCTATCTTTGATCATAACAGAGAGGTAACTAACTTGACACTAACTAACTTTCAAAATTCTAGCTAAACTACAAAAAAAAAAAGAACAAAATTACAGGCTCTAGTTTTGAGTCACAAAATATATCAACCTAAGTCCTACTGACCTAATAGAGGCAATGACTTGTTCCCATCTATGCAATAGTTTAAAAACTTCAGCACCACATAATTTCTTGGTGCATTGGACCCCATTCTGTCCCAAGAATCATCTACTATGAAAATAAGATTTTATGTTATCAGTTATACAACTTTTAGTTGCCGAATTTCTAATTTATTTATTACATCAGAAAGCCCAAGTGAAAGCAAATCTTGCTTTTGAAAACAAGAACAGTTCTATTTAAAATGCTAAATAAGCCGCATATTGCATGTATCTCTTCACACCATCACAATAACCAGAATTCTTACCAAGATTCCGACCAATTCATCACATCAATAAAACTTAGAGTTAGAAATAAGAATACCCTTTTAAATTCCAAAAAGAAAAAATATACAAAAGATACAAGAAAACCAATTTCAGAGATCGAAAAACGTACGGTAAAATAACAGAAGACCAAGCGAAGACCTCTTGGTATGCTGCGTCTGGAGCAAGCGACTTTGCCTCATCCCCTGTAGACGCTCGAACCTACCAAGAAAACCAATCACAACAGGCCAAATAATTACTCAAATACTGAAAACAATAGAATTTAAATATCTTCTGTATGATCACCTTCGATCTGAGCATGGCACCGGAGAGCGAGGGCATTTTCGTAAATATAGGACATCCAAATTGACCGTTGCACGAGTAGGAAAAGGTTTTTGAAAACGAGTGTGGCTTGTTGAAGTGGGAGATAGAGAAGAGGGTTTGTAGTCTCTTGGGTTGATGAAATGGTGGCCCTAATGGGTGCGAATGGAGGCTCAACAGAGCTGTAGTCGACGCACTGCAAGCCATGTCCGAACTACCTACGTAATATTTTGTTTACCACCATATATAAAGTAGACAAAAATATAGTTGTAATAAAGTTTTGCAGATACAAATTAATGTGAATTATTATGGTGAGTAGTAGAAATTATTTTAACAGGAATATTATGGGGTACTAGTAAATTAAATAGTATTTAACGCTAAAAAGAAAAAGAAAAATGGTATTTAACTACATAATAAATAAATGGTTTTCTAAATAGTATATAATAATTCTCTAATTTGTAAATTTTGATATAAATAATGTTAAGAGGTAGACCGGATATAATATATAGTCGCAAAACAAGATTAAAGGGTATAATTGGAATAGTATATAGAGAGAGAGAACATAAGTGAATTTTTTAGATTAGAAATAGGGAAAAGTAATTGAAGTTATTGTGGTTAAAACATTTTTTTTTTTTTGGTAAAAAATTTGTAGTTAAAACATGTTAAGTGGAATTTGTTTTCTTTTTTTTTTTTTTTCATGTTCTTATGTGGAGTGAAGTACTTTACATTTAACATACTTTTATAGCAGGAGTGACAAACGGACGGGTTGGGCCGAATTCGAGTTGGGTGAAATATGGGTTGAATATGCAACTCATCTTGACTCTCAAATTAAATATGGTTTATTCATAACTATTAAAAAGTAAATAAATATGAACGGATTGATGGTTTGAGACCCATTTTGTCACCCTTATTTTATATGTACGAGGAAAATGATACACTAGTGTTTTTGTTATTGTGGGTGGAAATTATTTTTAAAAAAAGGGGTAGGATTGAAAAAAAAAAAAAAAAAAAAACAAGGCCTTTTATATTTTATGTTTGAACATTCAATTGAACTTTTGTCTGGTAAATAATAAATTGACATTAATGCCTCACAGAATAAATATGGAACATTAGTCTCAAAATAAGAATCATCCAAACATTACAATATGAATATGAGAATCAAAAGGAGTTAGTGTAATAATAAGATCTGATAGCTCAAAGTTGCTCTTTTGAAATTTGTTTAATATTCGGTGGTAAATTATGAAATATTTTACATAACCACACCACCATTATTGAAGAAAATAAAAATAAAAATAAAAAAAGTAGTAATATGAGAATCAAGGGCAAATTCGTAAACTACTATCAGCGGGAGATTAAAGGGACTCCCACTCCGAATACAAGCTATCTTATCGGGTGACTTATTATGTGGTCTATGTTTGATGTTCTTTCTGATCTACTTTTGACGTGTGAGAAATGAGAATGGAGAGAGAGAGAGAGTGAAGAGCGATCTGTCGTGTTTGTTTAGAGTAGCTTTAAGTATCTTAGAGCCTGAAGCATCTGATGCAAGAATCCAATCATCCACTACTTTTACATGTTTTGGGGCATCACAAAAGGGTAAAAGACACGCATGCCCTCTTTTGATTTCCACGACCGTCGTCTAGTTTAATGTAAAAAGTTTCACATCTGTATCACTTGCTTGCAAAGAAAATAGAGATCCACAATTAGCAAATCGTATCCATATGATGCCAAGCAATAATAGTTCATCAATCACAACTTCAACTGCTCTTCTATAAATGAAGTGCCAGAAGTTGCAAACCAACGAAAAATGGCATATTTGTTCACAAAGAGCCGCACTTTTTTTTTTTCTTTTAAAATAAAATAAAATAAAATAAAACAAAAATAAATTAAAAATAAATAAACAACAACAACAACAACAACAATGCAATTCGTCGTAAATTAAGTAACATGTTCAAGTATATAATAAATGAAATTACATATTCCACCAAGAAAACGTTAAGATTCAAACTTCTCACTTAACAATCCATTTAGGGCCAAAAAGGTTCTCCCTCTCTGTACAACTGACCTACCATCCATTCCCTTCTCAAAAGCATCAAGCATTTCGTGTGGTGAATGCGTTCCCCAAAATAGGATCAGAAGTCAAATTCTCCTGTTGCCTGAAAAACAGAAACTGTTACAGAGGGCACCAAAAAGAATAGAAAATGAAAATCTGTTACCCAAAAAATAAAAATTGATGACAGATTCTACAAACACATACCTTGTTGAAGAGAATGTCTTTATTGTTAATATGCATGACACCATCCTTTAATGTGCATTTCCACTTGCTCTTGGTACGGGTCACCTACCCATCCAAATGCATCATGCAATGTTAACAGGGCTATTGTCGATCATAAGCAAAAACAACAAAAGAAAAACAACAAAGCCTTTTTCCAACTGCTTGAAATTTGCTACATGAATCCTTTTTTTCCATTCTACTCTATATGAAGGCCATAACCCCAGTCAAACAGCATCTTATCATATATCATTTTCTTTCTAACTCTACTCAGGTTAATCTTAGCATTCTCCTTCCCTAACATTACACTTAATGCCACTCTTCCTAAAAATACAATACCTTGTCAAATTGAGCCAAAACTAAATGCTGTGTGTTTAGCTCCTCTCCTTCATCCACATCATCAAAATCATCATCATCATTTTCATTCAAGGGCTCCTCATCATCATCATCATCATCTCCAACATCATTCTGAGTGACAACAGCAGGAGTACCTGCTTGAAGATCTAAAAGATGCAGAGAATAGGTTTCCAACATCAGAGAGAAAACTTGTAACCGAACAATTTAAATAATTCAAAATAGATCATGAGGTTACCATTTGGCACTGGTGTATTCACTATATTATAGTCTTCATTGACAACTCCTTGATAATTGTATATCTACAGTGAGAGGGAAGAAACAGAGTTAGTTTAGAAAGCAACGGCTGGTGAACACATCATGCTTTACAATTCAAGTTTCTTGTTTTTTAGTTGTTTGGCAGTGAAGGGAAGAAGGGGAGAGGGGAGTTAAGATTTTGACTAAAAACCTAAATTATAAATAAAATAAAATAAACTATTAAAAGGGTAAAAGACCTTGCGTGTGACATTTCATAAAGGTTTCAAGTGTGTGAATGACATTATGCAATTCAATACTATTGGAATGGGATATAATTAACCATCAAACATAAAACTAAAATCACTGGAACAGGATATAACTAACCATCAAACATAAAACTAAAATCACTTTCACTACACGCGACAAAAGTGTAAAATATCATTTATGCCCTCACTTGTTTAACATATTTTAATAAAAAAATATTAAATTTACCAACGGGCCAATGGCCTAGCGATATCAGCCTCTTACTTCCCAAAGAGAAGTCAGGGGTTCAAGTCTCAGAAGAGACAAGTGTGTGTGAGTACCTACTAGGGAAAAAAAAAACTAAATTAAATTAAATTTTTTAAAGACAAAAGTGTCCTTAATTATAAGACAAAAACATTTCTCTTATATATATATACACACACGCGCGCGCGCGTGTATATATATATATATATTCACCATTGATTGCAATATCATCAATCTCAGATCCGAGAAGCACAACGAGGAGGATGACCTCGAGGAGGAGCAAGGGTTCGATTCCGACGGCTACAATTCGTACTCGCCGCTGCCGCTGCCGCTGCCGCTGCCGCTGCCGTTGCCGCCGATCGACGATAAGGACGTGCTTGTGTTGAGGGAATCAAATTTCAGCAACTTTGTGGCGAGAATTGGTACATGAATCAATTTCAAGTTCAGTCCAATTCTTTAGGAAAGGCTTTGTCGATTTCGGTGCTTAAATTCTCGATTATTTCTACTCTTTTTTGTTGGGTTTCAGGAAGAGATCATTGTTCTTTGGAGGAAGTAGTTGATTTTTTAGCCTCTTTGAAGGCTTGAGGCCTTTGTGGTCTTTTGTATTTCCATGGGTTTCGCTCCCCTTCTGAGCGTTTTTTTATAAAATTTTTACTTATCAAAAAAAAAAAAAGTTCAGTCCAATTCTTTCACAGATCAAGTTGATTGTTTCTTCATCTTTCAATTTCACTCACTCACTTGCATACTGAATCGATCTTATCATTTTGTTCTCTATCTAATTCAGATGGCTTCGACGTGTGCTCTCTCGCCTTCAGCTTCGCTATTATTGGCGGATAATTGCAAGGTACCTTCTACTTTTCATCATTTAAAAATTTCCCATTTGTAAATTTTTGTTTTTGATTTCATTTTTCTGTCTGGGTGCTGAGAAAACCAAGGAACAAAAAAACAAGATAGGTCTGTTTATATGTTCTATGTATATATAATATATATATATATGGTATCGCTGATTTCTGCAGTGGTATTCTAATTTTTTTGGACTCCAAAGCTTAGTGCATCTGCAAAGGGGCGTTCTGCAAATAAATCATGCCATTTCTTAGTCTGTATTACATTTTATTTTTTCTAATAGAGGACAGGATTATCTTCCCTGAACTTTTTGACCTTTTCAAAATCTGTTTGCCAAGATCTTTATGTAATGAGTAAACAATTCTAGAAGAAATAAAACCATATACTTAACAAGATGGATTTTTTTTTTCCTTTTCACAGAGCTCCATTGAAGATGAAGCAACAGTGGTCTCCATTGAAGACCCCAAAACCGAGAGCTTCAGACCAGAGACTATCCAGTGTGCCTTAGTCCGGTGTTGGTGTGTTGGAATCCACAGTGATGGTGGTGGTTGTGGGGTGGGAATGGTGGTGGAGTCGCTGCCGATTGTGGTGGTGTTGGCGTGCCGAAATACACTGGTGGTGGTGGTGGTGGTGGTGGTGGTGGTGGCAATGTTGTTGTGGTGGTGGTGGGGTGGGCATGATTGTAAATTTAGAAAGAATCTATATGGTATTTTAGTCTCTTTACATCATTCTTGGTGTTTTGACAAAGTCAAAGCGTATTAAAGTCATTTTACAGTTGGGGTGTGAGTTAAATAGAGATCAAATAATTGTAATGTGAGTGAAATAGAGATCAAATAATTGTAATGTGAGTGAAAGTTAAAACCAAAATGTCCATCCATGTGAGATTCGACCTAACCTGAAGGGATGTTAGTGTAATTTACCCTTGAAACAATAAATCTTAAAAAACTGAATAGCTTGGTCAATGTGCCAATAGATTAATAGGTTTCAAAAAAACGACATCAAAGTCCAAAATACTTCGAGCAAAGGCTCTATCAACAAAGCAATGTGGTCGATAGCTCAACCCATCAACATGTGCCAAACTGATTTGGAAAGAATTCTAAAAGGTCTAGGTTTCCTTCTTTTATTACAATTAAGAAACCCTAATTCCTTTGTACTCAAAGCACTATATGAACTTCTGGACTCTCATAACACACAAGTATAGAGAGAGTAATCTCTACATACATTATTGAGCGAGTATAAAGAGAGATCATATCTTCATATTTAGAGAGCATATTTTTCTTGATAGTCTACATCATGCATTAGATTGTGAGTTATTATTTAGATCATCAACTTTTGGAGCTTACACCGTCATCGACATCAAAGTGTTTCTACACAACATACAAAGAATCAGACATTGCCAGCCATTAGAGAATATAAGTCCATGGAGAGAACCATATTGTGTGGGAAACGAGCATGTTGATGGAAAAGCAACTGAAAGATCTTGAATTGATCTTGCATAAGTCCGAGTAATGAGGGACTAGGTGATTCTAGGGCGGGATCTGGTAAAAAGTTGCAACCACTTTCTTTTGATCTGTCCGAACTAAGTCCCATGATTTTTTTCCATTGGTGTTCTCCACATAAAAATCATGTGTTTGTGTGATTGCCATTTTTTTTTTTTTTTTTTTTTTTTGGCTATCTATATTTATGTAACGTATAGTGTTGCATTATCAATATATGGAGTAATTGTTAAGACTTAAAATCAGTTATTGTTAGCTAAAATCATATAAGATCTATTCACCCCTCAAGATCTATTTTAGGCATTGCGCGACGTCATGCCAGGGGATTGGATTATGGTCTTGTACTTCTAATTGGTATCAGAATATATCAATAGTGAATTTCTTAATGTGTGTACAGCACACCTTCTCTGGGTTATCAGATAATTGAGCAAGATTGAGATTAAGACTCAGAATAGAAAGTGTAAGAATAGCAGTTTTTCACACGTCATGTGGTCCGAACTGACTCTAGAATCCAGGGTCTCTATATATGCACATGAATGAGGGACCAGGAGCCTCTTGTCTTTGTCTCGAGCAAATTTCATATAGATCAAATTAAGAACAATAGTCGCCACTAGCGTGCAACATAGGAAGCTAAGCTACCTACGTGCGCCCTGCCAACGCAGGAAAACAAGAACAAAACGACGAATAATACAAACCAAAATCAAAACTCCGCTTAACTGTCAGACAGGCTCCTGACGAAGTGTCTACTCTACTCACACAGACCAGTAATCGACACAAGAACTCACGGAAATCCCTTCTAGGATACAGGGCACTTGATCAGAGTCTGCGTCTGTGGCTCTTTGGAACATGACCCACTTTGAAGAGGTAACAACGCGCACCATCTCTTACGGGAACTGATGCTTAGGCACCGAATGAGCTTAAAAGAGCAACTTTCGAGGACACGTAAAACAATATGTACATGTGTAAGTCTATATGTTTTGGGGTTATAGTTCTAAATACTAAATGTTTAATGCTATTCACTGGGGGGGGGGGGGTAGGGTACTGATATTGCTCCTTTTTATGTGTGAATATATGAGGGAGGTTGATCCTAGTTTTCCATAACTGAGTTTCGGTTTTACACAGTTATTTCTTACAACATTTATATATAATAACCCAAAGGTTATTACGACTCAAATGATCTTATAGAATACTATTATATAGCGATTACAGGATTATTTATTGATTAAAGAATTTACTTTTATATCTTTTTCTTCTGAAAGAAAAATGAAGACAGAAATTAGAAGGATCGATTGCAAGATTGAATTCGCAGTACTTGAACTGATCAAATACCCATTTAATATGGGTTTCATACTCGCATTCATTTGAGTATGTCCATTAACAAGTGAAACTCAACCTAGCCCAACCAAATGCACTGCAAACCGAAAGAGCAAAAGATTAATTGACTTCTATCTGGCATTAACATTGATGGATAAAAATATACAAAAACAAGTAATCAGTAAAAACATCAGAACACTTGGCTACTCAATCAGAAGATAACACCATTAGGAGTACATTTACTAAACTAGAAAAGAAATATGCATATCAACAGTAAAATGCCCACACATAAATGCTGAGTAAGCCTCAATTTGCAGTGTATGCCAGCACATGCAAACGCACAGATACACACGTATGTCAATAGAAAAATGCGCCATCAAATCAAAGCATTGCGTATATTTAAGTGTAAAAGACACATAAGAAACAGCTTACATTGGGTGTAGAAAGCACATCATCATAAGGATCCGGAGTCGGCCCATCCACTTGTGAAATCCTAGAAGACAAACTTGCCCCTAGTCGCATCTTTCCACTTGCAGTGGTAACTAGGTCAGGTTGAGTATTACTTCCTCGACTTAACTGAGAAATTACCATATGATAATTCAAAAAATTGAATCAAATCTATAAAAATACATATGATAGAATACTAAGAGAAACATGAAAATCTTTAGTGATGCTAGTGTAATAAAATCCTTCAGTGAAGTACAGATCAAGAAACATGACACCGGAGACCAGAGCCTATTGTCATGAAGTGATTCCTAAGACGCTTGGAGGTTGGAAGATACGCATGCTGGTTGGCAAAGAGCAGAGTTTGACTGGGAATGGTTCCAGGGAAGGGCGTGCAGGAGCACAGGATGGTACCTCTTCATAGTTCAGGCAGGTCGACTCGGTTGAGTGCGAGGAGCTTGTCGCTGGTCGTGGACTTGACTATGAAGAAGGGAGTTGGCTATCCCTGCACAAACTGGTCGGGAGTTGGAGCTGTTCTCCTGATGAGAACAAGGCAGGTCGAAACCAGTCAGCATGTATCCTTGGAAGGGCAGGTCGTGGTGGCTGACCAGGGCGCTTGCGCGAGCTGAAGCAACGCCTTGGTGCCGCATGGGCCGTGCCGCTGCACCAAATCTCTAGGCCCGTGACAAATGGTATCAGAGCAGGACTTGAGGTAAAGCATGGTAAGGTGCCCCCTTGTCAGTCTGGGAGGGGTCAGAGAAAGAAGACAGTGCACTGAAGTTGCGTCGATGAGGAGGAATCAATGCAGTTGGAAGGGAGAGCCTCCATCTCCCCAGGAGGAGGCATCCGTTGAAGTTGCGCACTGGAGGGCCGGAGGGCCACGGGCACCAAAGTTCATGCTTAGTCCTTGGGTGATACAAACCATGGTGAAGGGCGAGCATCAAGTCGGCAGGAGGCCCTTGCTTGCTCGGGATGTCGCAGAGGCGGCATGACGGAGAAGAGTCACGTCCTTGAGGAGTGGACGTCCCCTTGGTCCGAGGCCTATCATTGGGTGAGTGTAGTGCATGGAGCTGCATAAGGAAGCGATGGTGGGAAGGCGAGCATACCGCATGGTGGCAGACTTTGGAAGGGAGTGGACGCAGTAGTGAAGCGCCGCACTGCGACGAGGACGTCGCAGGATTTGGGTGGGGGAGAGTGTCACGAAGTGATTCCTAAGGCGCTTGGAGGATGGAAGATACGCATGCTGGTTGGCAAAGAGAAGAGTTTGACTGGGAATGGTTCCAGGGAAGGGGCGTGCAGGAGCACAGGATGGTACCTCTTCAGAGTTCAGGCGGGTCGACTCGGTGGAGTGCGAGGAGCTTGTCGCTGGTCGCTGGTCGTGGACTTGACTATGAAGAAGGGAGTTGGCCATCCCTGCACAAACTAGTCGGGAGTTGGAGTCGTTCCCCTGATGAGACCAAGGCAGGTCGAAACCAGTCAGCATGTATCCTTGGGAGGGCAGGTCGTGGTGACTGACCAAGGCGCTTGCGTGAGCTGAAGCAACGCCTTGGTGCCGCACGAGCCGTGCCGTTGTGCTAAATCTCTAGGCCCGTGACACTATGGCACCATAGAATTGCGGCAATCATTTTGGCATACGACTAATCTACTGAGTCATTTTGGAGACTAAAACAGGAAGAGAGAGAGAGAGAGAGTGTGTGTGTGTGTGTGTTTCCTCCTATGACTAATCTACTGAGTATGTTTAAATTAGGTGCAACAAGATGACCAAAAAATGACACTTTTTGATCCCCTCCTCACACTGGCTGGGGAGGAGGGGAATGGTTTCTACTTATACCAGCATGGCAATATCTTGTCATCAATACCATTCAAATTCCAAGGGATCTCCAATGCACTTCATGAATTCTTATAACAAATTTCCCAATCATTTTGATGCATTTCCAAATTCTATTAACATCACCACCTCAATACATATAATTCATCTGCTATGCGGTTTTTATGCTTAACCCCAGAATGGCTTCTACTGTTGGGTCTTAAATTAGCTAATAAAGAAGCCAACTTCTATAACAAAAAGAATATTTTCACTCCGAATGAGAGATATAGGTGAACCCAGCACCCATATATTTTAACTACTGAGAAAGTACTATTCATTCAAGTATCAAGATAATGAGAACTTCCTAAATATAACAAAGAATCTAGTAATATAAACAAAAGAAAGTAAAAAAATAGCTCCACCTCAATATTATCTGCTATGTCATCTCCAGGTCCGTCTTGCTGTGGTATGTATCCACCTGTATGATACTGTGAAGCAATATCCTCCCGCTTCCGCTTACCAGAAGACAACATGAAAAAATCCTGGATTTCACACCAGCATAAGAGCAATGATGAATTTAAATAAAGTAAATGATCATTTCAAAATGACGTAATATTTCATAAAGATTGATGGTCCCTCTTAAGTACTGTTTTAATTTAATTAAAGCAACACAAAACAAAAAAATTTGCTAAGAATGTAATTTTTCTAAGAGAACCAAGTGACCAGATTTCAGGAGATTTGGGAAACATGAAATTAGTGTATCCCAAAATTTTGCAATACAAATAGAAAGCACAGGGCAGACATGTGCCTAATTTTTAAAGGGACCGTTGGGTTTCAATTCACTCAACTCCAGGAGAAAAAAAGAAAATAGGAATAATTAATTTTTACTCACTATTCAAGAAACCACCCTTTTTCCTATCTCTATTCTTTTTACCACTCATTGTCTCAAAATCAGAACCTCACCACTGCAGCCAGATAAGTGATCAGGAAGAGAATATGAGGAAGTCAGTTATTTCCTTTGTCGCCTTTATGTCCTTTCCTTTGGTGATTAATTGCAAACTTACATGTATGTCTTTGCACCGTTCAGAATATCAGTCCTCTCCAAATTTTTCTCTTTTAATTCACAAGCTTCCAAACTAAAGTCAAAACCTTTTGTCAATTTTTTTAATCATCTTATCAGGGTTGTGCAGCATTGAGGAATTCTTTGTGGTAGCAGGCCCTGTTATCTTACCCAATACACCCTTGTCCCTCTCATAATTTTGGTACTTCTTCCCCGTTATTTTTGGTTGAGCCTGTAATTCTACAATTGGTATACATGATTTAGCTATTGTGCCTTATCTTTATTTTCTTTTTTCTTCAATTACCACGTAGATTTATTAGGTTAGATTTACACTTGAAGGGCATTACTATATTGTATACAACTTGTGTTTGCCTGTTTTCTACTATTTTCCTGACTAAACAATCATGTAAACATCATATGTATATCTGAGAGACATGGTTCTCGTTTCCAGAAGTAAAAAGAAAATAGAACCATAAAAAACTCATGTTTCCAGCTTTCTGTTTAAAGCAATTAAAACTGGGAACAATATCAAATGGGCCCCAAATATTCCATAAAACACTCTGAGAAGGGAGAACTATAAACTAAGGCACCCAGAACAAACATGATTCCACAAACATCAGTGTCAACTACAGCTAATAAATATTAACCTGTGTCATGGGTTGATGTGCAGTTCCCCTGTCTGCCTCTTCCCGCCCTTCAACATAAGCTGCAACAACAAAATGAGTATTTAGTGTAAAACTGTTGAGTATTAATCAGTGCAATCTTACTATAGTACTTACCAACATTAACATCTACACTGACAGGGGGCCTTTGATTTATCCAAGAAGAAGGTGGCTGCTGCATAAAGAGAGAAAGATCACTTGCCCAAAACAACAATTCAACCACCAAACTTTAGCCATAATCAGATAGAAAGAATTGCATTTACAGGCATTTCAGAGAGAAAGAGAAGTTACAAAATGCAGAATCGCACACACTTGAACAACAAAAGGGAAAAATAAGTAGTGAACCAAATTATTGTTCAATGACAAGCATCAAATAGAACAGTGGGAATGATACAGTGCTTACCATGTACGGGCTAGGTCTCCCAACCTTCGTCTCTGTACCACCACCAGTATCATTTAGAGCAGGATAGTCACTAGGAGTGATGGGAGTACCACCAGTAAGAATGTTATATGGCGAGTTGTCCGCCGTTCCTGGTGTTTGGACCGATCCTGGTAGAGGTGTTTGGACAGCTCCTGGTAGAGGTGTTTGGACAGTTCCTGGTAGAGGCGTTTGCATGGGAGTCTGTAAAGGCGTCTGCATTTGAAAACCCACATAAAAATAAATAAATAAATAAATCCATTGAATTATTTAGATGAGAAATCTTACAATTTTCACAAAATAAAAACAAAGGGAGTGAAACTCACTGGAGGAAAGAGTATCTCAGCTGTTGGAGTTTCGTACTCCTCAGTTCCTTCATATGGTACATTAAGATCATGAACAGGAGCGGTAGGGCCCCCTGGTGTTGGCTTCGGATCAGTAGACCTCTCTATAGGACCCAATATAGCACCAGCTTGCATCATCTTCATTTCCCAAATCTACAAATTTGCATAATACATTAGCCATTAAAGTCACACTAGTGTAGCTGTGACACATCCAAGAAAGCACAAAACCTAATTAATCAGATCAAAACTCCAAATTAAACTGCTGAACATGAGAAGTCATGAAACACAAGTTTCAAAATTCAACCCCAAATTAATAATAATAATAATTTCTAAATCACAAAACCCTAATTAACCAGATCAAAACTCTATATTAATCTGCTGAACATGACAAAGTCAGCTTCAAAATTCAACACACACACACACACAAATTCACAAAACCCTAATTAATCAGATCAAAACTCTAAATTAATCTGCTGAACATGCCAAATCTTGAGAGACAAGTTTCAAATTCAACACTTCAGTACCCAAAAAAAAAAAAAACCCTAAATCACAAAACCCTAACTAATCAGATCAAAACTCTAAATCAATCTGCGGAAGATGCCAAATCTTGAGACAGAAGACTCAAAATTCAACACTACAGTAGGGGAAAAAAAAAAAAAAAAAAACCCTAAAGAGCCAATCAAATAAACAACTAAAGTATAACGAAATCGAAGCAATAATCGAAAAGATTGAAAGATTACTCCTTGAAGCTCGCTGAGAACACTTTCGCCTGGACCGCCATTGTTGATAAACTCTTCTCGGACTTTATTGATAACGTCTTCAATGACATGGACGTAGACAGCGCTCGTGATGGAACTCGACATTCCCGATTCTCCGAAGCACTGTCTACCTTCAGATTTTCTTAATTGCTGAAATAATAATGAAAGACTAAAAAGGAAAGATGCAAGATCTTCTCAAAATCGACAGAGATATGCTTCAGAAATCTTATTACATGCTATGAAGTTCATGCAAGGGTTTGGCGGTGGGGGTCTGAAGTGAAAGCTAGAGCGAGAAAGATGAGAGAACAGCGAGGGGGGGATATGGGTGGGGGAGAGAGAAAGGGCGGACCAGAAAAGAGAATAAAGAGTGGAATATAAATAGGTTTGCATCCGTTTTATGCGTGGGTCCACGCGTCAGTATCCTTCACGCTCCCGGATTCTGAAACTTAATACACTACCGACCTATCCAGTAAAAACTACGCAAAGTTTATTATTAGGGTAAATTACCCTGGCCTCCCTGGAGGTTTGTTCAAATTATCCGCCGTTAAAGCTTTTTTCAGGTTTTTGTCCCAAGGAATACAAAAGGTTACGAGGGTATAAAGGTAATTAGCGTTTTATTGCTGACATCAGCAAAAACGTATTTTTATCAATTCTATCGATGTTAAATCTGTGTTCAGAATTTTTTTTTTTTTTTTTTTTTTACCATAATGTGTGTGGAATTATCAAATATCATTTAAATTTTTCAAAATTACATTCTAGTACATCAATAGGGGTGCAAATAAAATTGTTGGAACCGGTCGAAATCGAATTATTCTTCAACAGTTTAGTTTCGATTTTGAATCCAAAATTAAAGAACGCTTGCATTAGAATTCGGCTTCGGTACCAACTACTTTAAAACGGTACCAACTACTTTAAAATTAAACTGAATCGTAACTAATTATATATATATTATAATATTAATATATATTAGTCACAATTTTTAAAACAGACACCTATTTTAAGACAAGAGAGTACTAAAGAACTTAAACTACCCAATGCTTTTTATTACTGTGTTATTAAGCTCCAATACTTTTATTACTTATTACACCCTTCTAACATTAAAGAACCTAAACTTTATCGATTAATCAAAATGATATTCATATTCTATAAATTAATTACATTAATTTTTCTTTGTAAAATGGTCAATTCATTATTTATTAAAAGGCTAAGTATCTAAAACATCTTTAAAGTTTACAGTTTAAGCAAATAACACCCCTCTTTTATTTTGGGTATATAACTTGCTCAAGAATTTAAAAATATTGTAAAAAGACTTTTTGGCTATTACTGTTAAAAAAACATAGGCTTGGCACATAACTAATTAAATTTAGTAAATACAGAAATTATCCTTTATTGAATTTTACATTAACTGAATTAACGGGATAAAATAAAAGATATAATAGTAATTTTATATTAACTGAATTTTTATTTTTTTTATTTTCTAATTGTAGAAAGGGCATTTTAGTATTTTCATTGGCCCTTCAATGGCGAATTCACAGGAGGTCCTTATTCGCCCCCTACAATAAACATTAGGGATTTTTTTTTCCAGAACATATAGGAAGTTATATGGCTATAATATGCATACCACAGGGTGTTAAGTGCTCGCGAGAATTCATTAAATAAATTTTGATACCTATATCCGAAATAAGGATGGCAATTTCCTCCGATCCAGCGGGTTTTCATCCCACCCCGCCCCTAATGGGACTAATTTGGTAGCCACCTAAATAGGTTTGTGACGGATATGATAAAATAATTAAAAACCCGAAGCAAGTTTTTGGCGGAGGCAGATTTAGTAATAAACTCGCCTGATTATATATGTACCTTTAAAATTATATATATATATATATAAATTTTAGGACTCTTGTTATTTTATTACTTAGTAATTTGTTACAAGTGTCACTTAATATATTAATATTTACTACTTAGTAATTTAAAAGTCGGATCAACTTATTTATCAACCCAACTTAAGCACATTGTGCTAGTTTTTTTTTTACTAAATAATAAAAATAGCATAACTCGCCCCGCCCCAGCAATTAAACGGATCAAGTACGCGGGACGGAGTCAATACTTTGTCTGTCGAAATAGGGGCGAGGATAATATACCAATTATAAATTCGTCACGGAGTAGTGGCGGAGATGGTATACCAATTACAGACCCGTCATGAAATAGAAACAAAATTAATATGACCAATTTTCTAACCGAATGGAATAGAATTTATCTAAATCCACCCCAACTCTGCCATCCGAAACTCCCATTTTGTCCCATTGACATTTCTTGTATATCAAAATAGCATGCATGTGTTCTTGCTACATAATATATATACTGAGCCCCGCGGAACTTATTAATAACAGTGTAAAAGTAAAAACATCTCTCTCCGAACCAGTAAAGTAATAACGTTTACTTAATATACAATAACAAATATATTTTATTTTATTTTATTTATTATTATTATTTTTTACAAGGCAAGAAAACATAGCAACACAACAAGTGTGATGATACATGGCTAGTCATTGTTTACAAAAATAATGTCAAATCTTATAAATAAATAAAAAATTTAATCAGTCCTTTAGATAGATAAATAACAAATAATACATGGATAATACTAAAGACACAGATTTTATAATCTCAACTACAGAATTTGTAATGTTTGGGTAGGGAAAAACAAAAAATAAAAACTAACTCTAGATTTTGTAGATTTTTTTGTGAAACTTACAAGATCCAAAGAATGAGATTGTGGATGATAGCAAACAATGTCGTTGACACACTTGAGAAACTCTTTTAACAAGTGGCATGATATAAAAGCTTTACCACTATTTTGTTTGGGGCCTAGACGCTTCTGTTATGGAGTTATGTGGTTTTATTATTTTTTGTTTTCGGTCTTTTAAAAGCTTTATGAATAGTTATGGAATTTGATTGATATGAGTGTGATGGTGGCCTGGTTTACCATTTATTTCATATAAATTAAATTCGGTGTAAATTATGGTTCGCAGTATTAGTTATAATCGCGGTGTAACGGATTCGAGCAAATTAGTATTAATTGATCGATACGAATAACATGCAAAACTTAAAAAATAGTTCTATATCAATTAATATGTTGGAACGATACGGCGAACTATGGTGTAAATACGTCCTAAATCAGTGCTCTTGATGTGTGAGTAAGTATACTGTGTCCAAATAGGAGAAAGAAACAGGCGAGACTAAAAAAAAAGATGACATTAGCCCAAAACAAGGCCCATGACCATAGAATCTTTAGCAAGAAAGACATTCCAGACGGGTTAGAAGATTTTGGTGACCGTTGGAGGCTTGGAGCTTGAGCGGGCACAAGAAACAAAATGGTGAAATTTGCCCATAAATTTGGTGGTTTGGAAGGAGGGAGAAAGTCTTGGGTGCTCCCAACCTTTGATATATATATATATTTTTTTCTTTTTCTTTTTTGAAATTTTAAACAACTGCATAAATGTAATAGTAAAGTACATAGAAGGCCTTAGGCCAAAACAAGCCATAGTTGGACAACAACACACCCCGAGGTAAGCATATAATTTGAAAGCCCTAAATCAAAACAACAAATAACTGCAATTAATGATTGATTAACCGTTAATGGGAGGTATTAAAGTTCCATTCCGGTGAGTCCCATTAGCAATGTTCCAGTGGCTTGGCCGGCGCAATTCAACCTGGTGGTCTTGAAAGAGGACGGCAGCAAGAAACTCACACACACCACACTAACACGTACTTCTTGCTCCTTTGGAGATTCGAACCCTCACCATTTATTTTAAGTGGTAAATGAGATATCATCGGATCACAAAGCTCTTGGTTTATGGAGTTTTTAACGATGAAGTACTATATAATAATAATAATTACTCCCAAATATCAAATTTTTTGTTTTTTCTTTTAATTACCTTAAAGTAGGACCACTAGCCTACGGACCGGATTTGTGAAGCTGAGCATTTATATATATATATATATATATATATATACCTTGGTGAATTATTTTTTTGTACTTTATACTATAAAAATTTCAGTTTGCCCCTACTCAATTTATAAAACATTCCCATCGTATATATTTGTCCTAGTCTCTCTAAGATTTTTATGCCAAGTCGCCTCCACTAACATAATTTTTTTGGATCCATCCTGCCGCTAGGCCACAAACTTGGTGATGTATAAATGATTTAATCACAGACATCGTAAATACATCGTGCCCCACCTCACACAGTATTACCCAATCACCCAACACAAATAACTAAAGAATGACAATCTCATAGGTGTAAAATTAGAACACTTGTATGACTCTTGTAAATATTTTTATTTAGTATTAGAAAATATTATTCCGGATTATCTCAGGATTATCTCAGGCCCACAATAGTGATAGCGTCCTGTACGACCAGAACACAAAAAACGAGAGAAGATATGAGACTAAACTAATTTGTTTACACGTAAAATATTTTTTAAATAATAATTTTTTATTTTATAATGTTTGATTATAGTAAAATATTTATGAAAAAATAAAATATTAAAATTTAATAAAAATAATTTATTTATTAATTTTTGATAAATTATTATATATACCTTACTTAATGGACTCGATCTCAATCTTGACGTAGACCTTTACCAAATACAGACAAAGTAAAAATATAAAAATATTTTACCTAAAATTTTTTTTTTAAAAAAATATATATTTTACGTTGAAATAAACAGAGCCTAAATGTCAAGTTAGCAAACTCAATATATAACAATAGGCAGGAATTGCCCCCAATGAATTTTTTTTTTTTTTTATAATCTATCTTTATAATTTATTCATTTTCATTAATATACCTATGAAAAATTACATTTGCCTTTCTGAAATTATTTTTAAAAAAATTGCATTATTACCCTTCAAAATTCATTTTTGTCCCCCTTACCTTACATGCGTACTGGCTCCGTCCGTGACAATAGGATATAAATTTTGCTAAATAAAGTAAAGCGTTGCATAAGGCTCTATATATACACTGTATGATATATATTATATATATATATATATATATATATATTCATGGGTGGAAAACCGTATACTATTTTAAAAAACAACGTACCTCTGAGTTGGCATGACCTTTCATGCAATTCAGGTTAATGTCTGTGAATGATGTGAATCCATGGATTATTTTGGGAAGAGAACGTCTAGCTTGGCATGACCTCGTACAGACCTCTCATGCAACCAAGACAGTGTTTCACGAGAATGAAAATTCCCTCATCACTCCTTTCTATGACAATTCACGTTTCCTTCACAAGAATACACATTTTACATATATTTACCCCAAAAAAAATAAACATTTTATATCTACGTTGGTATTTCCATGTGTGCATACACATGTCCTATAGCAATAAATAAATAAAAATAAAATAATAAAAAAAACCCTTAATTATTTGTAAATTTTACAACAAAATATATTTTATGTTCAAACAAATATATTAAAATGGTGTTTATCAAGACGCATAAGTTTAAATTTAATTAAGTTCATATATCAATTTTGTATGTTCATGAAGGTTGCATTTCTCTTCATCAACCTATGTGGTTCTCTCTCTCGGATTAAATAAAAGTATAAAACTCACATGCACACTCAAACTTAATAATTTGAAAACACTTTTTTTTTAAAAATATTTGTTTCCCTCATTCTTCTATTTATTATACATAGAAGGCATATTTAACTAAGTATTTAATGTAACTCTAAATTAACTCATAAATAACATATTAATAGAATAAATTAACTGCATTAGGTGAAAAACCTTCAAGTCAGAGTTGTACAGTCAAGACTTAAAATCTTCATACATACGGAATTAATAAAATTAATTTGATACATAACTCCAATAATTTCAATAATATATTCAGCTCGTGTGTGTATACGGTATCCATATATACTCATGGCATGTAAAACGCAAATTGTAGTTCTAGGCTTCTAGCCGTTAAAGTTAATCCACGGCATGTAAAGCGCAACCCCTTTTACCTTTGGTGCAAAAACAACGAGTTCACATGATCAAACAACACAACAAAGACACCTACTTATCACCCAAAAAAAAAAAGGAACACTTTTATAAATCCTTCTGGTTTTGGTGAGAGAATGTTAATTTCAATAGTAATTCTTCAGCTGACTTTGCTAGCTCTTCAATTAAATCTTCATAATGTCATCATCGGGCACTCCCGCCAAGTTGACAGTAAAACAAAAAATCACATATACATTCGATAAATTGATTGGAAGGTTATGCAAATCACTAGCCATTTCAGGATTACTTGTATTCATAATTTACATCTTCTTGTCTAACCATCCCTACTTCTACTCCTCCACACTTCTCACCAAGTCGAGGCACAGATGGGTTCGGTATGCCAACCCTAGTACTACTAACCATCCTCCTACCAATATTAGCCACCTTGTTTTTGGCATATCAGGTTCATCAAACACATGGAAGAATAAGAGATGGTACATTGAATCATGGTGGCGACCAAACATGACTAGGGGATATCTATTCCTCGACAGACCTCCCGCGGAGTTCCATCCATGGCCTTCGTCTTCTCCACCTTTTCGAGTTTCAGAAGACACCTCTAGATTTAAAGAATACAACAAACACCCCATGCCACACGCCATTCGGATGGTCAGAGTGATCGCGGAGATATTTAAGGCGGAAAATGAAGGTGTGAGGTGGTATGTCATGGCAGATGACGACACGGTTCTTTTCATCAATAATTTGGTAGAGGTTCTAGCGAAGTATGATCATGGAAAGTACTTCTACATTGGGGCGAATTCGGAATATGTTGCATCCAATTTTTTTCACTCCTTTGAAATGGCATTTGGGGGAGCTGGCTGTGCTTTAAGCTACCCTCTTGCTGAGGCATTGGCAAAAAATTTAGATTTTTGTATCAGGAGATATCCAACTTTGTATGGAAGTGACCACATTTTGCAGTCATGTGTTGCTGATTTAGGAGTCACTCTAACACCAGAAAAGGGGTTTCATCAGGTAATTATATATATATGTGTGTGTGTGTGTGTGTGGACATGTCATCAGTGTTGTATATTTGATTTAAATTGCTCAAGACCATCTAGTGCATTGGAGAGGATCTTGATTCTACCATTTGACCTTTGTAGCTCTTTTTCGAAGTATGTTCACAAACAAACTAAATTGATATTTGGTATTGCAGATTGATCTACGAGGTGATATATCTGGTCTTCTATCAGCTCACACACAGTCTCCTTTTCTCTCCCTCCACCACCTAGATGTGGTTGATCCCATCTTCCCTTCCATGAACCGCTACGAATCAGTGAAACACCTCATGAAAGCCGCGGAAGCTGACGAGTCTCGGCTTCTACAGCAAACCATCTGCTATGACAAACCCAAGAACTGGACTTTCACCATTTCATGGGGCTACTCCACCCAAATTTACGAGAACATCTATCCTCCAAGCATTTTAAACAGACCCCTTGAAACATTTAGGCCATGGTACAGATGGGCGAGACCACCTTACATGTTCAACACCAGACTGCCATCGAAGAATCCATGTGAAGCTCCTCATGTTTTTTTCTTCGAATCCATGGGGGAAACAGAAGATAGCCATATTGTTACTACCTATAGTCGAAGAAGGCCGCGTAGCTTATCAGCTTGTAATTCATCAAGCGGCAATCATTCTGCAGATTACATCTCCCAAATCCGCGTTCTATCACCCATGAGCAGACATAATCTGGTGAGGAAATCAAGTAACATTTATTTTTTTTTTATTTTTTTATCCATTTCCTTTCCCTTTGCATGGTCTTTTCTAAATCATTTTATGTAGTCTCATGAAATTTGAGTTCTATGTAGAGTCCGACATACGTCTAACTGTTGGACTACAAAATCATTTTCCTTGAAATTTTGGTGCATGTCATAAAATTAGAAATTTTCTTTATTCAATACTATTATCCTTGCATAATTCAACTGCTTTTTCCTTCATCCTTTTTGCACTCATGTTGATCTATTTTATGTACTATGTGTTTGTGTGTTTATATATATATACTTTTGCTGCAGGTTGGAAGTAGAAGAGAATGCTGTGACATTGTAGGCAATGCTGGCATGAACGGGACGGCAATCAAGCTTAGGGATTGTATGAAAGATGAGATAGTAGGTTGAATGTTTTATTTTCCACATGCATGCCTAAACTTTTTTTATTTTTCTTTTTTCCCCTGGCAAAGAGAAGGATGAATCTCATTAATTAAGTTAAAACAAAATTATAGTTTGTTTCAATTTCAACCTCCAACCTCACAACCAAAGGTAGATTTTCTACACCCTCATCAATTAGAGGGCAGTGTTATTTTCTTCATGAGGGAAAAATACAAGAGACCAACTCGTATTCTCAGCAGTGACAGAGGAGGAGGAATTCAGGGGGCAACCATTAACAATAATAAAATAGAAATTTTGAATTAAGATTAAAAAAAATTGCAAAAGAGAGTTTGTTTTTTGCAAATTTTAGTTCTTAAAATTTTTGTGGGACTGCCTTTGAGGAGAAAAAACGTGGGCCTTTTCTAAAATTTGAAAAGTACAGTGGGCCAATAGTTAGAAAATGAAGGGTTTTATTGAAATTTATAAGTTTTTCTTAAGGTATTTAATGATTTTATTACCCAACTTATGAGAAGGTATCGCACATAGTCCTCAAATATATGCTTCGCGTTGGAACAGAGTTGTGTGAAATGTTTTAGATGGACATGGAACAAATTTGTGGAGTACTCCTATAGAGTCTTCTAGCAGTACTAAATTTTTTTTTTTAAGAAAAATTTTAAAGCCTTAAATGTTTTACAGATGTTATCCGTTGAATGAGTTTCTATATCATTCTTTTAAGACTATTATCTTATTCTTTCTAATATTCTCAAACAATTTATGATTAACCTTATAATGATATTATATATAAAATTAAAAATTAAGTATTTTAAAATGAGATATACACCATTCTGACTATTGATTTGGACCAATAAAACATGACTACATCAACTTTAATTATCAAATAAAAAATGATGATATATATTCATTAATCAGATCAAATATGGTGGTTAATTACCAAATCTAATTTGATAATTAGAAGAGGACGTATTCATATGTTATTGGTCCACATTACCGGTCAGTATGGTGTTAATCCTCACTAGTGAAGATCCAAGTATTGTCCAAAATGAAATTGAGTGATAGCAAACCATCAACTCAAGATATCCAAAATATTTGCAAACAAGCTATGCAATCACCATGTTCGTCCTTTTACATTAAAATTTTAGTAATAAATACTTTTAGAGTTATTTAATTTATCGTTCGTAGCTCATACATATTCACGTAATACATCCATTATAAATTAATGCTTTCTTATATATATTGTAAACATTTTTAAGTGATATAATTTTAAGATTTGCTAGTTGTGAGCTAAGTCACATAGAGCGGGAACCAGAGCGAGAGTGCGAGCGCGAGCGCGAGAGCGGCATATCCCAAAAAATCTTAGAGCGAGAGCGCCGCATTATAAATATATAAAATATTAATTTATAATAATAAATATATGTTATAAATAAATTTCACGCAAATAAAAAAACAGAATAGAGAATCAAATATGTATAACCAATATAACCTACTTTATAAAAATGCATAAATTAATAAACATGACAATCAAACAAGCTGCTTTATAAAAATAAAAACATAACAGTGAATAAGGCATAACAGAAAAAGAAATGTTCAAAAGTATTGTCTTTTATACATTTAACATGTTTTAAGCTCTCAAAATGACAATCATTGTCTTTGAAATAGCAATGATCAAAAGCAAAAGAATCTACTGCTAAACTTTAAAACAAATATGAAATATCCAAACTTCCAAACCAAAATGTTAATGAAAGTAAGTTACGTAAGTATTATCTAATGAAGTTAAGTAACGTAAGTATTATTAAATATTAAGTATATTGTTATATAACTTATATTATTTGATTTTTATCTATAAAGGATAAAGTTTACTGAATTAAATTAAATTAATTATTTTTTGACATAATTAACCTTATTTGGTCTATTTAAGTTGGGGTTAAAATCGAAATTTTTTAAGATTCACAATAAATTTCTTAAATTTATTGTCAAAAGTAATCGAATTCTTGAACAAAATACACGATTTTACTTTACACAATTCGTCGAATTAAACTTTAAAAATCGGCGAATTCTTAAATTGAATTCGCGAATTCAAAAATATGCGAGCGTGAATTTTTGGCGAATTCACTCTCAAAACACTAATTCGCGCGCAGAGCGATGGAGCGCCAGTGATTTGAGTGAATTATGTGACTTAAATTGTGAGTTATCAAACACAAACCATATAGTTAGCACTGAATAAGCACCATAAGCATTATGCATTCAGTCTAATTTGATAAATCAAAACTTCGATAAGTTGTAAAAAATAAAATAAAATATTGACACGAACTGTCATTTGGAATAAGTGGTCTTGCGGCATCGATTATTACTTTCAAAAGAAAAAAAAAATTAGAATTCAAATTTCAGTTTTAAAATTCAAATTTCAGTGGAGACATTAAGTGTGTGCGATTACTACTTACAAATAACATGAGCATGGGGTGTTGCTATTAGGGCTCATATGTCAAACATCCCTTGTTAACCCATAATTGTTCAACTTGAATTTTCAGGAAAAAAAATAAAAAAATAATTCAATTGCTAACAGAATTTTTTTCACTATCATAGACAACTGTTACTCTGTAATGGTCTTGCAGTAAAGTGCTTTCCAATGTGATTAAAAAAAAAAAAAGTTTTGTAACTGAAATAGATTTCTTTTTTGGTTATTAATTGTTCTTGTTTAAAAATAAATAAATAAATTTACCGTTCATTTAATTTAAGGTTTGGTACAATGAAAAAGAAAATATGAGATAACACTAGTTAAGAAGAAAAAGATAAAAAATAAAAGAGGTGAGCGTCTTGAGAATACTCATCGGTGAGTAAGAAATCTATACTCACTACATATGTGACCCAAAGCTAAACTGACAAGTGTACTTATATTTAAAATAATAAAAAATAATAATAATTTGATAGTTATTCGGATTAAACCCAATTGAATCCGAATTAAATTCTAATTCTCTGATAGAGGACAACCAAGAAACAAATATAATGTATTTTTTCAAAACTATTTAATTCTTAGAACATACATGCAATTTGATTGGTCATGATGGACAATGTGATTAAATTTGCAATTATGAAATTTAAGACACTTGCAAAAATTAACCAAGAGAATATATTTATTTACCTCAACACTTCTTGGTGTCTCTTTCCTCCTCTGCATTTACTTTTCTTCTTCTTCCAGTTTTCCAGAGACACGGGTTTATCTCTCTAAAAATATGAGTGCGAGAGGAGAAGAAAGAGTGAACAAATGAGATTAGGCTTCCACTGGATAGAACCGTGAGAAAGAGAGGGGGAGAAGAGAATTAAAATTTGATTCGGATTCTTAAGGGTTTAAGTGTTTAACCCCGATAGCTATCAAATTATTTATTTATTTATTATTTTAAATGTAAGGACACTTATTAGTTTATTCTTGCGCCACATACGTGGTGAGTATAGATTTCCTACTCAACGGTGAGTAGACAAGTATTGTCCAATGATAGTAATTATGTTTGGGAAAGAGAGGAAAGTGGACTATTTTAATGAATTTACTACCATACCTTATTCTGTATATTTTGTTTTTTTTTTTTTATATAAAAGGATAAATTGCACTCACAACCCATTTTTGGGTTGAAGATAAGTAGTTACAACTCATGCACTTTTTGGACAATGATACCTTCAAGTTTGGTAAATTGAATAATGACACCCTAAATCAAAATAAAATTACTTTATTGTCATTTGACTCTTAAATTTACCACTTTAATCTTCTCAAACTATTTTAATGGAAAAAAATTAACCTCTTCATCTCCAAATCATAAAATCTGAAACTCAAACTCCATCACCACCACCACGCACAACCACCACCATCACAGGCGGATAGAGGGGGGCTTGGGTGGGCTTGAGCTCCCCAAAAAATAAAAAATAAAAAATAAAAAATAAAAAAATTAGTATTGGTAAATTTAGCCCAATCTCCCAAAAACACAAATTAGTAGTATTATCCCTCAAATATTAATTCATCTAAACAAGCCCAAAATTCAAACCACAATTTTAAAATAAAGGTTCAACTAAATAGGCCCAAGCCTAAATATTTTATAATCTTGTTTGGATATTTTGTAATCTTTAATTTCAAATATTTATCAAAATTATGTTATAAAAAAATAATTTACTTATGAAATTGTGTTATTAATTTATATTTAATATTAGCATTGCAATTCCTGAATTAGGCCTTCACCACCATTGACGCCAAAACCCACTGCAGAGAACAAAATAACCACTACTGGCTGCCTTTGTCGTTACACCAATTATTTATGAATAAATATTAATGGTGGAAGTTTAAATATTTTCGTTCAATTATTTATGAATAAAAAACGAAAAAAATAGAGATCTAATGGATGATGAAATATGGAGATCTAATGGATGATGAAATATGGAGATCTAATAAAATCAATTTTTAAAGAAGTAACACTTTTTGGTTTTAAGTCCCAACAAACTTTTTCCGTGTGTTATCATTCCAAAACAAAATACCTTTTTCCGTGTGGTGTAGTTGAACCATTCAATATAAAGTCTCTCTTTATAGTTATGAGAATGACATTATTTTCTTACTTTTAGTAGTCAAATCAAATTCTACAGTTCACAAAGTTTAAAAATTTAACTATTAAGCGTATGGAATCGTGCTTTTGATAACAACACCTTTTACGTCCTAAATTCATGATTAAAGAATAAAAATTTAATACGGGTTATTTTTTTATATATATTTTTAAATTTTAAATTTTAAATTTCAATATTTAGAATTTAAAAAACTAAGTTAATAATATATATTCAGTTGTTCTTTTAAAAATTATTATTATTTATAAGTGATACTTAAATTAGAACGGAAGAAACATGTAAAATTTATAGGGTAAAGTGCATTAAACCCCTTGAACTATTGGTCATTTACAAGAAACTCCCTTGAATTACAAAAAAACCCTCCTGAACTATGATTTTGTTGCAATTTACCCCCTTGAACTATTGGTCATTTGTAAGAAACCTCCCTGAATTACAAAAAACCCCCCCTAAACTATGATTTTGTTGCAATTTACCCTCATAACATCAACTTCCGGTACCGAAAATTTTGAAAGACTAGTTTACCCTTATAACACGTACATTGCGTCGTTTTAACTTATACGCTTCCTACTTTTTTTTTTCCTGCCAAAAGATGATTTTCACCCAACACAACCCAAAACTGAGAGCTAAAGAGAGAGAGAAGAGACCAAAAAAATCCGAGGTCAGCGAGATGGCTCGGTCTCGGATGATGGAGGCTTGTGCGCGAAAGACTCGGCTGTGATGAGAGCTTGGTTGACTCGGCCGTGAATTGTGGAGGCGGCGGCGAGCTTAAGGGGGCTCGGCGGTGAACTGTGGATGACTGTGTGCTCGAAACACGGACGACGGTGTGTTCGGCTATGGAGATGGCGGAATGGGCCAGCGAGATTGGAATGGACGATGGAATGGACCGGCGAGCAAGGTGAGCTGAACGGCGGGCAAGGCGGTGACAACGATGGGCTGACGCAACGGTGCAGAGAAGTGCGATATATATGGCCGACGGATCTGGCAGGTAATGCAACGGCTATGATGGAGTTATGATAGGAGACCCAGCAACAAATTTCTCGGCTTCATCGTCCCTTTCAGTCAATCAATTCTCGTCGATGGGGTAAACTACAAAAAAATATATAGTTTAGGGGGGTTTTTTACACATACCCCAATAGTTCAAGAGAGTTTTTTGTAACTTTTATAATTTAGGGGGGTTTCTTGCACATTCCTCAATAGTTCAGGAGGGTTTAATGCACTTTACCCAAATTTATATAATATTTTGAAGTTAATTTTTTTAAAAAAATAATAATAATTTGAGGACAAAAATGGTGGAAACGTGTCCGGTGCAACTAAGAAGGTTCTCTAGATTAGAACAAGTGTCAAATAAAGGCGTCAACGACTCAATGGAGCTAGACATTTGTTCCCCACGTGTCTAACAGATTTAAAAATTACCGCATTCGCGTATTCTACTATCCAGACACGTGTCGCCAAATTCAAAGCGGGCTTCGAACCCAAAATGGTGCCTGTTCGTTTTTTATTGGACCGCTGAAATACAGTGTACACGTGTTCGATAAAAGATGATCAGATGAAGACAGATGAACGGTCTAGATGAATTTGTTTAGGCGGACTCCCACGACGACACATAAATAGTTACCTGTCGGCTCGCCGTAATTGGTAATGCCAGCTGTCCGTTGCACTCACTGAAAAGCATCTCGGTGTTACATACAAATGGCGTCCCTCTTTGCTCTTTAAATAGGCTCTAGATCTCTTTCATCTCTATCTCTTTCTTTCAACTTCATTTTTGAGCACTACAATTTTGTTTCTAGCAAAAATAACTAGCGTTTTACAAAAGAATTTGAGAGCTTAATTTTTTTGGCAGTAACTAGAAGGCATAGTTGTGTTTGGGTGGTAGTATAAGAGATTTGCGATGGGAGATATCTGCTATGGTGTGGTGAGTAAGAAGGGGAAGTCACCACCGTGCGAATCGAGTCAGCGAGCGGCGAGGCTTCGGCGAATAGAGATTCGCCGTTGCAAGCCCAGTGTAGCGACGCCTGAGAGAGAGAACGGACAGAAGCGTCAGAAGTTGGAACACACTCCGTCTTCGGAGTTGCTTTCACGTGACTGCGAGAACGCCGTTGAGAACTCTATTTGGAACGGTGAACAAATTGGTTCGGGGAACGGAAAATCGGAGGCAAAGAAGATCTCTGTTGCAAAACAGTCTTCGATTATGCATCCAAAGTTCGGTTCTGCCTCGGTTTGTGGGAAGAGGAGGGATATGGAGGACGCGGTGGCTCTTCATCCGAACTTTTGGCGGAAAGGAGATGGATTACACTACTTCGGCGTTTATGACGGCCATGGATGTTCTCATGTAAGTATATATATGGTTCATATATAACACACACAGAGTTCTACGTGCTTATGGTTTTCGTATTAATTGATAGGCGTTTGTGTATTGAATCTTTGTAGGTGGCGACGAAGTGTAAGGATCGATTACACGAGCTGGTGAAGGAAGAGTTGGAAAGCCGCGAAGGATTAACGGACTGGGAGAGCGCGATGGAGCGAAGCTTCTTTCGCATGGATAGAGAGGTGGCTGTACGGGACGCCGACGTTTCAAGCCCAAACTGCCGGTGTAAGCTTCAACCGCCGGCGTGCAACACCGTTGGATCAACGGCTGTGGTCTCGATCATAACGCCTGATAAGATTATCATCGCAAATTGCGGTGATTCTAGAGCAGTTTTATGTCGAAATGGCAGCGCTGTCCCTCTCTCGGTCGATCACAAGGTTTGTTCCTTATCGTTGTCTTCCTCTCTTTTGCATCTAAATGTTTTAGCGAGAGAGAGCATGTTGATCAGACGGTCATGATTAATTCTTGATTGATGTGCAATACAGCCGAATCGTCTTGATGAGCTGAACCGGATTCAAGCCGCCGGCGGACGAGTAATCTACTGGGATGGCCCGCGCGTTCTAGGAGTTCTTGCCATGTCAAGAGCTATTGGTGAGAATCATATTACTACTATTTTACTCAACTATCTAATACTACTATGATAATTATATATATATATATATATATATATATATATATATATATATATATGTATATGTGTATAAATATGTGTGTTGTCTGTACAGGTGATGACTATCTGAAGCCGTATGTGATCTGTGAACCTGAGGTGACGATAGTTGATCGAACGGCAGGGGATGAATTTTTGATACTGGCCAGCGATGGACTCTGGGACGTGTTGACCAACGACACGGCCTGCGGCGTTGTTCGATTGTGCCTGGGTCATAGGGCAGCCGGCGGAGAAATTTCCGAAAAAGCGTGCTCGGATGCTTCCACGCTACTTGCGAGGGTGGCCTTGGCGAGGCAGAGCGCTGACAACGTGAGCGTCGTTGTGATCAATCTGAAGAAGAGATAGTCCTTCACATTTGTTCAGTTTTTAATTTGTTATTATTTTAGTAGTTTATTTGTTTTTTTTTTTTTCCTACTTATTTTTAGAAATAAAAGTTACTACTTCGGTCCCTTTTTAATGGTCCATTTTTGATTTTATAACTTTTAAAGATTTTATAACCTTTTAAGGGGACATGCAATTATGCATTGTCTCTTTTTAAAATTACCAAATTATTATTTTTAATTTAAATATATATATATAGTTACAAAGTTTGAAATTTTTTAAAAAAATAGACAATGATGAAAATATAAAAAAAAAAAATATTTTGACTTTTCAAAGAGGATAATTAATTTGGGACATGTAAAAAGAGAAAAATATATTATTAATAAGGGACGTAAAAAGAGAAAAATAAATTACTAATGAGAGACGGAAGGAGTAGTATTTTTTTCTTCTTAAGTTTCATTCAAGAAGGTGAAAAAAAAAATAATAATAATTCATTCAAGAAAAACGGTTCTTCTTTTTCTTATAACTACGAAATCAGTTTTGGATAAAGCTCCTATCGGTGTATTATTTATGATTTATATGGAATATTGTCAAAAGAATAACTTCCCCAAAAAAAAAAAAATATTGTCAAAAGAATCACCCATCATCTGCTAATTGGGAAAAGAATTCAGTGCTAATTGGGAAAAGAATTCAGTGGACGCTGCGAGAAAGTGGCATGGTGTTTGGCTCTTTTGTTTTTTTTTTTTAGGGCGTGTCAGGGTAAAAAGAGTTGAATAATCAAACTATTCTTGGTGTTGACTGAATTTAAAATTAGTCTTTTAGTAAATTAGGTGATTATTGGAAGGCAAGAATGATTCCTTCTTTTAGGTTTTTTAATGCCTCAATAAAGAAGATTTTTAGTACTAGATTGAATAAAGAGAGTAAAATAAATTACACGAGCATTTATCTATTCTAAGAGATTTAAAAAATAAAAGTGGAGGGGACTAAGCGTTGATTTTTATTTCATAAGTAAAATTCTTATACAAAATATGTACAAGAAGAAGTGAAAGTCTAACACTAGGCTACTCCTATAAATAAAAATAAAATACAATTAAAAGATCGAATTGAATTGTAGAGAATGAAAAAACATTGATAAAGAAACAGGAAATTTGTGTTGGTCGGGGACCTTTTGCACAAGGCCCTCATGGTGCTATTTATGTCTGGAGCAGTTTTCTTTTCAAATTCAAATATTATGTTTGAATTGAAAATTTCCTTTGTCCAAATGCAACTTTTTTTTACCTTTTGTCTTAAGCTTATTCAAATGTAACTTTTTTTTACTTTTTGTCTCAAGCTTATCCATATGAACGGTGTTTTTGGAATAAAATTGACGTAGACAATTTATTGACTTAAGATTCAAATTTTATGTAAGTCTTTTAAGAAAACAATATTAATTATTATCACTAAAAAACACTTCTCTTCTTCCAATTAACTAATGGCATGTGGCTGAATTAATATCTTTTTCTCCAATCAACCAACACCATGTGTCTAAATTGAAAATTAAATTTAGGTTGCAAACAATACCCCCAGCTCTTTGAAATAATGGCAAATCGAAATTTTAAAGAGTTAAACTGATGGATCACAATTTAAATTAGTCACTTTTATTCGGCCCTTCGCAAAGCTAACCAGTTAGAACTTCTGACAATTCTTCAATTGTTTTTCCGATCAGCACCTTATTGCCGTCAGTCCTTTTTTTTTTATTTTGCTTATCAGCAATCTTTCAACCACATCCTAACTACGACACATTCACCATACAATCGTTTTGAGTGCTTAATCGATTGAGGTACTGAGAAAACCTTGCCACCAAAGTGACAAGTATGTGGTCTAGGTGCATGATTGAATTATGTAGAGGCTGATTGTGTTTAACCCCCGGGTAATTTCCAATCTCAGCACTAAATTGTTGACATTAGCAACAAAAACGTGCATATTTGACTGTCAATCAACAACTTATAATTTAAATCGGTCACAATAACTGATTTTTCTTTGGTACCCCGAGTGGTTGAAAAACCTAATGGGTCCTCCCGGATCGAACGGAAATTATTTCGGCCTCTTGGGATTTCTTAGAGCCGAACGAGTTGCCCCCCCAAGGCCAAGTCTTGGTTCAAAATTATATTATTTTTCAGCCTCTTTTGATGTCCTTTTGGTTATTAAATTCAACACCTGAACACCATTAACCATTTCTACAGTTTTTTGACACTTGACATATGTAAAGCTTGACATTTATCAGTTCTGCAGCGTTAACTTCAATGCCAATTTCAGCCTTTGTCAAATGAATCTCATAAGTAAGATCTTTGACATAATTATTATTCGACGCCTCTATCACATGAATTTCATAATTTGGGTCCCTGTAATAGGTATCCCTAGAGGCATTCTTCTATCTTGTTCTTCTTTCAGGCCCTTTTCATATCTTGTAGCACTAGAGGGTAGTTGGAACAAGTCCCGAAATTACATTCCCTCAAATTTCCTTCGTAATTCAAAGTCTAAACCATTAAAGGTTAGACTCATACATTCAGTTTCTGGAAAGGCTACTTGGCATTTGTGTTTTGCCTTTTTAAACCTACCAATAAAGGCTTCAGTCGTCTCTCCTAGCACTTGGGACAGCCTAGATAAGTCAGCCATCGATACCTTTGGTTCGGTCTTATAAAATTGGATATGAAACATTTCTTCCAATTATTGCCAAGTATAGACCGAATTTGCCGGTAAACTTATATACCAAGAAAATGCGGTCCTTTAAGGGAATTAACAAATAACCTTAATTTTAAAAATTCATTTACTCCAGCCTCACCACATTGAATGGTAAATCGACTAATATGTTCTATTGTCGAAATAGAGTCTTCTCCGGAAAAGGTAACGAAATCGGGAACTTTATAGCCTCTTGGAAACTCATATCGGTCTATATAGTCCGGATATGGCTTCCTATATGTAAGACGACCAACTCTTCTTGGGGTTGGTCCATAAGTTACTTGAATTAAATTAGTCAATTGATCTCTATCAACCATAAGGGGTTGATGATTTGGCTGTTGTGCTTGAGGCTGATGCATATAAGGTGTCTGAGGTTGTTCGATACACATATGGCACCTGAGGTTGAGACACGTTCAGCACCTAAAGCTGAGGCACATATGGCGTCTGAGGCTGAGGCACTGGAAAATTAAAACCAGCATAAAAATTATCTCGCCCTTCTTGGGGCTGACACACCTATGGTTAGTTTTGATAAATTGGATTAAGTGGTCGCCAATTCACATTCTGATTGACCCCTTCGATTGGTTGATATTCCGCTTATATCTGATATTGTGGCTGATTAGCCTGCTGTTGATACTGTCCATGCAACGGCTGCAGAAGGGGTTGAAACCCTTGTCACTGTTATTGGTAGTAATTCTGTTGAACTCCAACAGGCGCTGGAACTTGTTGTTGTGCAAGCAACGAAGTATCTATAGTATTCGACCGTGCTATAAGGTGTTGATCAAACCTTGTTAATAGGATGGTCAAAGAGTTACTCAAATTAGCCAGCGTGTTATGGATTGGCTCTAGTGCTTCATGAAAGATACGACTGGAAATTTTCATTCGTTGCACTAAATTGTTAATATTGTCAGTCAACATCTGATTATTTGGCTGTTGATTTATTTCGATTTCAGCCCCTTATTCTTAATTTTAAGGCTGTTTCTCAGGCAAATTTTGCGACTGAGATCGAGTAAATGGCATAGATATAGCTTGAATTTAGACACTTCCAGGGTCCCATCGGGCGTGCCAAATTGTTTGGCTCTTTTTTTTTAGGGGCGTGCCAAAGTCTTCCGACCCAAAGGGTTGGATAGCCAAACTATCCTTGGTGCTAATCGAATTTGAAATCGGCCCTTAGTGGATCAGGCGATTGTTGGAAAGTAAGGATGACCCCTTCCTTCAGGTTCTTCAACGCCTCAATAAAAATGATTTTCAGCACTATAAGTAGAATGGATGAAGGGAGTAAAACAAATTACACGAACATTCATCTATTCTAAGAGACTTAGAAAATAAAAGTAAAGGGGACTAATGCCAAGCGTCGACTTTTATTTCATAAGTTCTTATATAGAGTACAAGAAGTGGAATTCTAACACTAGGCTACCCCTATAAACAAAAGTAAAATACAATTAAAAGACTGTATTGAATTGCAGAGAATGAAAAAACATCGATAAAGAAACAGGAAATTTGTGTTGGTCGAGAACCTTTTGCACAAGGCCTTCATGGTGCTACTTATAGATGTCTGGAGTAGCAGTTTCCTTCAGCAGTTTCCTTTTCAAATTCAAATAATATATTTGAATTGAAAATTTCCTTTGTCTTAAGCTTATCCAAATGCAACTCTTTTTTGCCTTTTGTCTTAAGCTTATCAATATGAATGGTGTTTTTGGAATAAAACTAATGTAGGCAATTTATTGACTTAAGACTCCAATTTTATATAAGAGTCTTTTAAGATAACAATATTAATTATTATCACTAAAAAGTCACCTCTCTTCTTCCAATCAACTAATGACATGTGGCTGAATTAATATATTTTCCTCCAATCAAGTAACACCATGTGTCTAAATTGAAAATTAAATTTAGGGTGCAAACACATGGTCATTCAATATATTTTGGTAGTTGCAATATATATATATTTTGGTAGCAAAAGAAAAAAATCTATCAATGAAATCAAAGAGATGCCTCGACTTTTAACTAACAAAAAAGAGATGCCTCGACAGGTCAGTTCATTTATCTCAAACATGCACCTGTTAAAATGAATGTTTTTTATCTAACTGTTTTTTTGGGTACTTAAGTGCTATAGTATACAAGAAAAAATAATTACAAGAAAACATGGGCCATACCATATGGCTCAAACAAGAATACAAAGGGCAAAAAGAACATAACATAAGCAAACCAGTCCACATTAGTGGCCTAAAACAAAAGAAACCTTCAAATACAATGCAGCCCAGGCCCAATAACACAGGCAAAAACTTATGCATAGCCATAGGCGGAATATATCAAGAAGTTGTGAGTATCAGGTCACTGTGGATTGGGTGGAGGTGGTTGTGGTTGTGGTTGTGGTTGTAGTGATGTCGGCGGCAGCAGTGGTTTTGTGGTGAAAGGGGTTTGTATGGGA